TTTTGGTTTTAAACAAACTTGATACATTCATTTGTTGACATTTTTATTTCTGTCTGTGTTAAAAAAAAAAGTCATGACATTTTAAAGTGAATTGAAGATTTAAAGAACAAGCTGCTTAATAAGAGTGAGAAAACCAATGTCAATGAAAAATCAATGTCAAGTGACTTTTGAAGTAGCAACAAACGCAAGACCTTGCTAAAGTTGGAAGATAGTCACGTGACCTTCCCACCCGCACCAATCTACATGCATGATTCGTTTCCTTTGACGTGTGCGCTATATCCTTTTTTTTTTATTTTTTTTTTTTAACTTCGGCGTTATCATAATGTCTTTTTGAAGGCCTTGAAAAACCTATATGTCGGCTAAACTTAAAAAAGAAATTATTAGGAATGTGAAGCTTGTAAAAATTAATTATTGTTTTGATGATGACGCTCTCCCCCTTCTCACAGATGGATGACGAATAATACTGAAAATACCATTTAAGCCTTATCTTCTTAATAATTTCTATTGAGTGAAACTAAATCAGTATTCGTATATTGACATTGAAATTTCACTTATTCAATAGTTAATTTGGGCCTACTAGATAATTTCTTGCATGATGTAAATTATGAATGAAAGGACATTATTCGTACAATTCGGTCCTGAAAACCCTGGGTTAAATTATTATTCAAAATGGCAGCCACAGTGGTAAAGGGCCATAATTCTGTTTTCCTTAATGGTTTTAGAGAAACTGATGACAAAAAAAGATTTTTTTACGTATTAGATTAATTTCCCAGGATCAGTGTTGTTTTTTTTTTTTTTAATTATATTTTTTTCTCCGATAAACGAAAATACTTTTTATCTCAACAAAATACAATACAGTGTATTTGTAGCAGTGTTATATTCGTTAAGGAAGGTTCAATTTTTTTTAAGAATTAAATTCATTTTACTCATAGTCATTTTCCCATGAATGTTTTTTGTATTATCGCACTTTTAAAATTAAAATAAAACTCTCAAAAGAGATAGAGGCATTCTCAATATACACAAATATCTGATAATAAAGGTCACCATTTTTAGGTCCTTTTATAAAGAAACAGTCCCAAGAAGAATACAGTGACGTATGCGCTGATGTCATGTATCCACACTTGCAGTTCTTCACCTTTTTGCTTCTATTCGTTCTAGAATTTGTTTTTTTTTTGGGTGGGGGGGATAAATTTATTTATTTCATTTCTACTGTGGAGTATAATCTTGTTAATTGCAACAAGATTATTGTTATAGTTAGATAAAATTATTTCTATTTTTTATTAAAAAAAAATAAATAATCATCATCATCATCATCATTATTATTATTATTCTTGTAAAATCAAACTGCTTCGTTTTTATTGAGCAAATTAATACGTCATCACATTCCTTTTGGTGTCGCTTCTTTAACTTTTGTATATTTTGGTGCAATGAAAAAAAAAAGTTTCTCTTTGATTTTCCCCCTAATTTCAAGATACTGTTGTTGGATAATAATTCCTTCTGTAGATTTTACTTACTTTTTTAAGCAACGTGGGAGTTAAATTATTGTGAACCTCACCCCCACATCGCCTCCTGCGTAAATAAAGGACTCTCATTAAGGATACATAATAAAAGACAAGACACGAAAAGAAAAGACCTGTTTGCCAACTATTCCGCTTTATTTCATGTTCAGACATTATTTTAAATTTCATTGATGTTTCACTCAGTCTTATTTGTGTACACTTACACACCTGTGACTGTTTTAGTTTTCTCTTGAAGGTTTTTTTACGAATAACAAAAAATATTCTCTGTATTTAATATTATGCATTTTTAAAATTTAATAGCTGATATTTTAATTAACAGTGCGTTAGAATATTTTTAAAGTAATTTTGGTGACGATATATTTTGAATAGAGAATTTTATCAAGTAGAAAATAAGTAATTATAAAAATAAAAAAGCGAATATTGCGAGTTAAAAATAAAAAAGAACGATAACAATTGCTCGGAATATATTTATATAAAGGACATAGCAATAAATTTCACCGATTTTCACCGGGATGTTTACCCAGCCTCGTTTTGAATCAGTGGCGGCAGTGGAATAACAGAAAAAATGGTGGACAATTTAGAAAGCTGAGAATTCTTTGTTTTTTTGTATCCCTAGTCTATTACGGACATTCTAAAATCACATCGATTAAGGCAAATGCTTTGAGGTGAGGTGACTGTCTTGTTCTGATCATTAACTCTCATTTCTTATTCTTTGCAAATAGATTAACCTAGGCATTTCGTGTGTGTATTGTTGATGATACCCTTTCATTTTCATGTCAAACTATGATTCGTCAGGGTATAAGAAGGGGAAGCCTTTTACTCAACAGCGACTCTATTAAATCCTGATTTTTCCTTTTTTTGTGATGTAAGAAATTCGTTTTTTTGTGTTTTTTTTACCTAGATAAAGATGTAGTATGGAAGTTTAGTTTTTAAGATCTAGTTTGTTACTTGCTACTTTTTGTCGAAAGACACTTAGGAAACTTGCTTAGACTAAAATTAGGATTGGGTCGTGGTGTTTGACTACTATTTAGATAAATATTCTCATTCATTGTAATAATACACGATAGAGACAATAATATATCCAAACAAATACAATTACATTGGAAATGATCTGAATGTAATTTGCGTCTGAAAATGAAAAGTCCGGTGCAAAGAACACAGTTTTAAAGGCGAAATGTATAGGTCATCGTTCTTTAAGCTTCTTTGTATAAAATGATCTCAGTGCTACGTGACGTTTTCTTCAGTACAATGATCGTAACTTTATATGGATTTTACATTGCTCAATCAGGCAAAAATATTTAATGGTTATGATGAGCTAAGTTATTTTCAATAAAGATTAAGGCTACGCATTGAGCAAAATATTGCACAAAGAACCAGTTTGTTTATTTAGTTTTTAAAGCATACTCAATATCTGATCGTTAAAGTGCTCTCTCTCTTTATTCTCCATGTTGTAAGGGACTAAAAATCGTATAAAGCTTTATGGGCCTATTTTGAAATTTCCAATTGATATTTAAAGTATCCGACTTTTGTGTTAATGTGAATATAAAGATGAAGAACGTGTTCGTTGATTTTTTTTTTTTTTTTTTTGATAATTTTGTGTTGCATAAACTAAACACCAACATAGTTAACTACTTTTTTGGTTTCATTTTTGGGGCTGTAAAGAATTAAAAATTAATCATTTTTTTCATAAATAAAATGTTTCTTTTTCGATACTTTATATTATAACTTGTTAATAATTTGAATGTAATAAAAAAACAGAATCGTCCAAGATCCGGCTTTATTTATTTTGACTTCATTGATTTTTTTTCTGATTATCGATAATGAATGATTTACAAAATTTATTTTAGCAGGAGGTGGGGGCATTTTCAATATGATGTTTTTTATCATTTTTTTTTTTTTTTTTTTTTTTTTTCAATGATTATTGAAAAACTAGATTTTCGTTTGTTATTTTATTTTCTTGAAATCAATTTTTTTATTTGTGAATTTGATTTATTTTAATATTCACTAATCATTATTCCTTTGTTTCATAATGTTTAATTTATTTAAATATTTTTTTCTTTGTACAGATAACAAATATTGATCATCAGACAGGAAACATAATACTGCACATTCTGCTAAATTCTCATTCATTGAAATTCCTGGACTGTTTTGGATAATTTAATAACTTCACAATGAATGAGACTTGGTTGAAGGAACTCTTGATTCTGATGGAAATCTTTTCTCAAATGCTACCTGCCATCATGACTTGATTTTTTAAATTTTTTTTTCTCATTTTAATTTTTTCATAATGATTCGTAAAAAAGAACTGATGAAATGCAGGTGCAAAAGCTGAGTAATTTTGTAGTAAACAAAAGGTTAAAAACAAAAAGTAGTGAGAAAGATGTAGGATTTAAGGGCAAGGTTTTGAGCGAGATGGAAATTGAGAAAAACACAAGCCTCTTGTATAAAATAAGTAAAGATGTTATGGGAATTCATGGAGCCCTTCAGGAAGAGAAATTGAAACTACAAGAGCAAAAGAGAATATTTTGTGAAAAACAGGCATATGAAAAAGTTATCCATTTGGACAGCATGGGTAGCAATGAAGAGGAAGATGAGATTGGACTTAGTAAAAAGTCCAGCACTGAGAGTAAGCATGTCGAGAGATTGAGCGCAGGCGGCTGCAATGAGCAGCCACCAGAAGCAGGTGGTGAGGAGAAAAGGGACAGTGAATATAGCTTTTCTGTCTTGAACCGAAGTTGTAAGAAAGAGAGGATTTTTGCTGAGAGAAACATTTCAGCAAAGAACAATCATAAAGAGGTGAGAAGAGGAGATAAGCATGAAGAAAAGTCAGCTAAGGTATTAAATTCTGAAAGCCAAGCAAAGAGAAGCAGCAACAGCAAGTTTATTAAAATTAAGGGAAAATTAAAAAGCAAGTGCAGCATCGAATCTGAAAACAAACCTGCAAACATTATCAAAAATGTCAGCGAACCTGAATTACTAAAAGCAAAGTCAAACTGCCTGTCTAGTTTAATATCTCCTTGCAAAGAGTCAATTAATGAAGCAGACAAAAAACTGTCAGGTGTTGAAAAGGACAAGTATTCTGAGTTGGCTAAAATTACGGGTGTTAAAGGAAACTATACTTGCTCCACAACAAAAACTATTTGTGCAGGCAAAAGAAAATGTAGTCTTCCTCTTAGTCTTCCTGCATCTGCCAGAGTAACCAAGCACCGAACCATGTCAACTTTTAGAAAGCAGCATGCAATATTAAAAGATTTCACATTAACATCTCCAAACAAACATTGTGTGGCTGTTGAGACCAAACCCAGCCATATTGTCAAGGCCGGCAGTGATGAAACTTTGCAGACACAGCCAGATTTTCAGTTCATCAGTGAAGAGCTCAATTTTCTTAATGCAGAAAGTGGGAAATTAGCAACCCAGATTCATAAATCAGACAAAGAGAAACGTTTGGATAGAAAACGTAAAGGAATGTTCATCAGAAATATGCTCAAGAAAAAAAAAATTGGGTAAGTTGTAGTTTTTTCATTATTATTATTTTCTATGCTACAGAACACATTTATTTTCAGTGATGTGCATGTAGTATCATGGTTAATGCCTTATAATGTGAAATCAGTGAGCTGAGTTCAAATTCTGCTCAAGTTCATTACATTCACATCAGTACTCTTGGAAAGGTTATGAATCTCTCTCTTCTTACCTCCAGCTATGGGTTTAAAGCAGAGTAAGATTGTGCTCTGTAGCCATGGTTAACAAACAATTTTTCCAGCAGCCGTCTTTCCTCGTTATGTGCCTTTGAAATTTCAACTATTTCTTTCTGATGTTCAGTATAAATGTCCTTTTTGTTTCTGTTTTCTCTAAAACTTCATTGTTGCTCACATGTTCAGTTCATGGTATTCTCAGCCTTCTCCTATAGAACCACATTTGTGTTGCTTCAAGTCTCTTCTACATTTGTGAGGAGATTGTCCAACTTTCACTGCCATACAGGAGGGGCGATATTACATAACAGCTCAATATTTTTTTTCATTGTTTCTCATAAAATTTTTCTGTTTTTTAATACTTTGCTTAGCTTTTGGACTGCATCTTTTTCTATCCTAACACGCCTTCAAATTTCAATGTTGCACTTTCCATTTTCTGTTAAAACACTTCCCAGATATTTAAATTGTTGTATTTGTTTGATTTTGGTATCTCCAATTTGTATGTTGGGCTGTTACTTTTGTTGATAACTATATATTCTCTCTTCTTAGAATTGATGTTTAATCCACTCTTCTTGCTTTCCTTCCTCTGTCTCCTATCAAAACTGTGTATTCTTATGTTGTTAAGATTGTGGCTACCAATAATGAATACTAGTAGGACCTAATTGTCTCAGAATCGCCTCAACATATAGGTTGAATAAGTCCGGTGAGAAGACACATCCTTGTTTTACACCCCTTTCTATTTTTGTATATTTCCTGAGTTCATTTTTTATCTGTATGCAAGCAGTTTTCTTCCCAATATATGTTCTGAATTATTATACAAAAGGAATGGTGAGGTCGAGCACTTTGTGAGAAGTAAAGAATATGTTCATAGAATTAGATTTGATCTTCTATCAGTCATAGGGCTCTTGTAGCTCAGGAGTTAGGAAAAGCTATTACTTTCAGGTAAAATGGATGCAAGATTTGTTGTTTCTGATTCATGTTCTTTCTCAAAGTTAGTGGGATGGTGATCTGAGTAGTTGAGATGAAAATCAATTGAAATTAACCAGAAAGAAATATTAGTGAAAAAAATTAAGCTTTGCATTTATTATCTACTTTTATCTTGAAAAAATAAAATTATTCATAAAATGTCTGCTGATCTGTGATTGTTTTATTCCTCTATTTTATTTCAGAACAAAAAAATATAAACGACCTGAGAAGTTAGAAAAAAGAAGTGAACCTCCATTATCGGATTCTACTGATTCTTCAGACATAGATTTGCAAATTGATTCTAGTTCTGATTTTGAGTTTGAGATGGACAGAAGATTGGAAGAGAATGCCCGGAAGAATAATCTAAGTGTTATGAATGTAAAAAGCATTCTTCATGTAAGTTTTTTGATGTTTTCTGTCATTGATTTTTTTTTTTTTTTTTTTAATGGACAAAATTAAAAAAATTAGAGATGAAGCTTCAAGACCATTTAAAAGAGTCTATCATAAGTGGCAACTGTGTGTCACTGTTATGTAGGTAATCTAAAATAGGGAATAATTTGTTTCTATAAAAGCAGGTTCAACTGTTTCTGAGCCAAGCTGTAGTATAGCATATAATAATCCAAGATCTTTATGACTTTATAGATATTTTGGCATTTCTTTGTAATCCTCTAATTACAAGACAGCACTTGAAAATCTTGCCACTGGCACTTGATGTGACAGCTACACATGTTGCTAATATCTTTACAGCTTTTTATTTTATTACCATTTTTTTTTCTAGTATTTAATGTCCTAAGAGTGGTAGCATAAACTGTAAAAACCGACCCATATCAATCCAGTCGAATCACTAAAAGAAGTTGCTGAAAGTGGAATGATGGGTCAAAAGTTTTATTGAATAAATCAAGTGTAATTGTTGATTCAATAAGTCTTTTGGAACCCATGAATCTGGAAAATTTGTTTTTGATAGGCCATTAAAATGAACTAATACTTTTTAACAAAAAGTTGATCAGTCAGTAAAAAATAAAGATGCATGTATTATATTTCTAATTTAGATGTTAATGTTTTTTGTTTGTTTCTGTTGGTCAAAACACTTTATTGAGGATAAAGATTTGTAACCCTTGATTTCTTTTTTTATTTCAGACTGTCATTACAAATGAACATGTTGTTGCCATGATGAATAATACTCTGAAATGTGCAGGTGAAGTTGAAGGAGAACTTTCAGAAGCTGTTTATGAACCTAAAATGACAAGATCAAAAATCAAAGAAGTTTTAGAAAAATCTGATGTAAGTTTAATGTGCCCAGGTTGATTCACAAAGATGGTGGATATCACATGATTTTCTTTTGATTTTTCTATCATTGTCCTTTAACATTGAATTTTTAAAAACTAATTTGCTGCCATTTGAAAGTTGCCTTTATTTAAGCAGGAAGTATTACCAAAGAAAGCATTAAAGCTATATACAAAAATCTAAATAATATAATTTACTAAACTAACAAAAAACATAGAACTGAGTTGATTATGCGTAAGTTTTATTGGCTCCTTTTTGGTATGCTGATCAAATTGAATGTGGATTATAAGGAAACAAGATTCTGGAAGAGGAGAAAGGCTTTTTTGAACCCATTAAGGACTTTCAACAACAAATAAAATGGATATATCACATGTAACTCAAAGAGGAAATAATGATATGACTTGAAATAAAATGTTTGGAAGGAAACCCTCATCGATATGGGAATGAGTTATAACAGTGGACTTGAGAGATTTATTTTCTTGAAAAATGTTTTAATAGAAAGATTTTATAAATTTCAATCTGAAGTGGCATTGGCTGCTTGGTTAACAAATGCCAAATGTTTCCTTATAAGGAAACCGTTAATATTACTATTCTTATTCTGTTATTATAAAATGGACTTTTATTTCTTTTTAACTTTCAGAGCAGTATCTAATATTACATTGAATATCATGTTAATAGCATTTCTTAATTCTGTATTATTCAGACTATATGAAAATCTTTTAAATCAAAGGAGCATAACATTTTAGCATATATGTAAAACTTTAATGAAAAAAGTCCTTGTAGATTTTGAGGTTTTATTGCACACATGCAAAAAGTTCTAGATTAGAAAAGTATTGACATTTCTTTTCAACTGTGAAGGATGAAAAACTGTATTTTATTCTATTATTATTTTTATTAATGAAACTTGATTTGTTGTAGTGTTTGACACCATGGCTATTGTCTTCCACAAAAACCAAATCTGAGAGTAAGGTCAGCATTTTGGATATTCCATTTAATGAAGATGAGGATGACGCCGATTATAATCCAGAGAAAGATGTTACTGCTGCTGAGGTAAATATGAACAATTTCACAGTTCATGCCTTTCTTTGTTGTGATGATTGGAGATAAATAATTTTCTTGATAAATCAGATGAGCTTAAGGTTTTTTCCCTCTCAATTTCTCTTCCTTTAATGGAATAAAATTTTGAATTTGCTGGAACTGTTTATGGATTTAAAGAAAAAAGCTAATCAAAAAATACAGCAAATCTCACAATAATCAAATCTTACAAACCAATGCATTTATGTATAAAACAAAATTCTTTGATATAAAATTGAGTTTTGGAGGTGATTTTTGACACTTAGTATTTTTCAGTATCTAATTTGTCAGAATAATTGCTTGAAAGAGTTTGATAACTGAGTTAGTAATATTAAGAGTATAAACTAGAAAAAATGTTAACAGTATGATATTTACTTGAGGGTGACAGCTAATTTTTTAATGAAAACATTGTCAATGCAAAATAGAACTTGTATCGCTTAGTTTGAATTGACTGCTCAGCTTTTCAAAATGAAAGTTCAAACATTTTCATTGGTCTGTCTTGTTGACAGAGTGAAGTAATTATTTTAGTATTTTATTCAAGCAAAACCAACATTGTCAACAAAGACTGGTTATTAAATACAGGGGAATCTTTTTTTTCTTTTTCCCTAAACACTTTTTCATTTTTGTTCTGATGTATAACACATTTTTTGCTTTGTCAATTTGTTTTTTAGGTTGAAAGTGATGATGATATTGAGAGTGTCAGTTCTTCTCTTCTCTGTTCACCATCCAATTCACATTTAGTAAAATCTCCAGTTTCACAAGTGACAGAAGAACAAAATATGTCCTTAACTGAAGATGACGATGAGAAGAAGGTGAGTTAGCATCTTACTGTTTTCTTTTATTGATTTATCATCATTATCATTTTCTTTTATTGGTTTATTATCATCATTATCAGTTTATGATGATTATAAATAACAATGATTTTTATGTTTATAGTTTATTGACTTTGACTTGAGCAAATATGTCTCTACAAGAAATAGTTGTAATATCATTGTGAACTTTAAAAAAGTTCCAGGAATATGAGAGTCAGATGTCTGAAAGAATGGATGTATATGCTAGGCTATGAAGACCATCCTTAGTAAGTCAAGCATAGAAATAAATATGAAATGGGAGCTGTTAAGAAAGAAAGAGAAATGATAGTAAGACATCAACAACAGCAGCCACAGTAGAAAAGAGAAGTTTTGGCTAGTGCAGTCAAGCAGCAGCAGCACTCATCAGCAGGCTGGCTACATAATGATTTGAGTTCTCCACTTGGGATTGTCCCAGAGGACAAGAGTGTAGTAGATTAAACTGTTGTATTCTGAATTTGTTGATATAGTAATTTTGAGTTCAATCCTTAGACCGGTAAATGTGTTCTTGGACTCTGTGTAAACTGGGTGAGCAATGACTTAGCAGTACTAAATAAAAACTGGATTAGATATCCTTAAACATGGTCAACAGAATGCGAACAATATATCCCTGTAGATTAAATAAAGGGTTCAGTTCGTAATTCCCTATTACCAGATTGGTAAGCACGTGATAAAGGGTACAATAGTTGAAATGTCATAACAACAAAGAAGAGGACAATAGTCTATGTGTAATTAATGATAATTCCTCATTCCAGAAATTCAGATAGAAAAAGCTTTGTTTTGGATATCAGTCTGCTATATAAACTACTAAACCAAGTGAATTGTATAAAGATTTTTTAATAGCTTACAGTTTATTAGCTGAACAAATCTGTTTATAATTGCTTATAATGATATCTAGTGTAGGTGGAAGTTGTCATAAATAATTTCCAACAATGAATGTTTTCACTGTTTTGTAACAAATTTTAAAACTGTCATTTTGAAAGAAAAAAAATTAATATTGGTATAAAGATGTATTCATTGAGTGAGACGATGCCTTTCTTTGAGAAGACAGAAAAATAATTTTTACATTTTTTTTTCTCTCCTCTTGAAATCTTTAAGTACATAGTTTATCATTTGCTTATATTTTCAGGATGATGAAACAGAGGAGACGATAGCACGACGCACTCGCTCAAAATTACCTTTACATGACATGTCTTTGATGGAACTAGAAGCAAGTTTTGTTGCTCCAGATATTACAGAGGATATGTATGACACAGAATGTAATGATGAAGACTGGCAAGATTTCTTGAAGTCCTTAACAAAAAGTGAATGTAAGTCTTAAATGTCACTTTAATACTCTTTCTATATTATGTCTATGTGTTAAATAACAGCATAGACTGAATCCTATAGCCTTGATTGTCAACCAGTCTATTGCAAAAATTAATGGCAGCTTACTGCAGGAATTCCGCTAACTCAGTCATGAATCAAAAAGAACCATGATTGCCCAAGTGTGCATCATACATTACACTGAAAGAAGGAATCCTAGACATTTCATTTGTATTGAAAGTGCAACTTTTCCTTTTTAAACTCCTGATTCATTTCTATTTAATACCTGTATATTTGCCTTTGTTACGTATAGCACCCAGTATTCACACGCACACTCTAAAACCAAATAGTCAACTACTGATATATACTGGTAAATATACATGACTAGATGTACTAAATGAAGAAGTACTTATTAGTTATTTGTTTACAATTTAGTTTGAAACCCAAAATGGTTTAAGGCTGTATGAGCATTAAAAACAACTGAATTCCAGTGTTCAGGTACTTAGAGATTCTAGATAGTAACATTCATCTTTTTGATATTTGGCAATAAAATCTTTTATTTAAATATAAAAAGCTGTCTAGTTCTTGGAAAGATGTTAAATTTGAATGTCTGAACATTACAAAGGTGATACTGAATTTCAGCATCTGGGCATTTAATAAAATGTTTTAGTGATTGAATAATGAAATTCAGAATATTCATTCATCAACATACAAAAACGTTTACATGAAACAAACTTTAAAAAATATTTAAATTTAATTTCTTTTCTTTTTTTTAACTTGTCCAAGTTCTTGTATATTTTCCAAGTTTTATTATTGTCAATATTCTCTGACAATGTCTCTTTAACATTTACTGTCAAAATAAATTTTGCTGCTAAGCATTAAACCAGGTATTATTTCTGGACTATTTATTTAGTGAATTATCAAAATTAGATTGTTATGTATTGTTTTTATGGGCTGTATCCCTTTAGGATGTGGATGATCATTACTCTCCACAACATCCTATCCCTTGTAGCACTTAGCAGCATTTGTCTTTTTGCTAGGCCCATCCCTGTCTCACTTTCTATTTACACAAGCTTATTGGGTCTACATCTTCCCCTCTTGTTAGATATACTTTCAAAAATTTATTTCTTTATGAAAATCCTTATAGACATGATTTTTTCTTCTCTCTATCATATTTTAGTGTTTGAGAATGAGTAATTTTTTTTTTTTTTTGTTACTAAAAAATGAAATAAAGAATTGAAGAACATATTTTCCCCTACAAAATAGAAATTAATGTTGCATATGTTATTAATGTGTCATTTATCTGATAATAGTTAAAATAAATTGCATATCAAAACCAACACAACAAGGAATCTAACAAAATCCTTACCAATAACACAAAAAAGACTTTATTACATAAACTGCAAAAGTCTACCACAAGTATGAGATGCATTCAGCATAAAAACAACTCCACCTTAATAAAATCTTATCAAATTTGAAATCAAACATAGGAAATATATTTCATGCATAAAAATAACAATGATACTAATTTCTAGATTATTCAGCAATTTCTATTTTAAGTTGAAGTAGGTTCTTTTGTAGTTTTTTTGTTGTTGTTGTCTTTGTCTCTGACGGCTTCACCCGTTTCCTTAGCATTTTTATCTAGCTCTATCTATATATGTCTGTCTCTAGTTTTCTGTGTGTGTGTGTATGTATGTGTATATATATATATATATATATATATATATATATATATTGAAGGAAATGGTATTTATTTTCTTAATTCAGATGTGGAAGACACACCTGAAACTCTTGATGATGAAGCTAATGATCCAGAGTATAACTACTTAGCTGAAGCTGAGCAAGAGTGCCTAGATGATGAGGATTTCCGTGATGATAGGATGGTACGCGTAACGAGTAAGTATTTCATTGCCCGTATATCCCTTGCTTTCATGTCTTTCCATCTATGATTGGTTGTTTTTGTGCTGGGGAGATAACAAATAATCTTACTTTTTTAAGTACATTTTTTTTTTTTTAATATTGTACACTGAGGAAATGTTGATAACACCAAAGTACAAATTATTTCCAGAAAAGGAACTTTACAGTTTATTGGATGAATTGTTCAATGATGAGGGCAATGAAGAGGAAGAGGAGACTGTTATCCAGCCTGGCCCTTTAATGAAGTAAGTAGAAATGCATTTGTTAATGAATTCTGGATAAATCTGTTAATGGTTTTCTTTGATTCATTGCTTTAACAGCAAAACGGTCATAAGGAAAAGTACAGGGTAGTCTGAAAGTTTTGCTGCATAATGTCCTATTTCAGATGGCAGTTTGGAAGATAGGTAAAGAGATGACAAGACTTTCGGACCACTCTGTATATTAATTTTTTTTTTTTTTTTAAACTTGAAAAATTAATTGAAATAAGACTCTTATTCTTAATACTTCTAAGATTATTCTTTAATCAAAAAAAAAAAAAAGTTTGGAATTTCATCCATATTGTTGTCATCAACATTATATAATAATTACTGTTGTCTTTTGTCTCTCACTGCATGCAATTCTATTGACAAGTTGCAAAGTCAATAATTTTCTAATGTTGGTGTCTATTTACCAAATTTGGTGCTTTCTCATGGATTTCTGTACCTAATTCTGCTCAGCAGAACAAAAAATAAAAACAACCTTAAAATAAACACTATAAAGAAAGACAACCAATGCAATACTTTTCAAAACAAAATTTTCACAAAGAAATGTAGTGATTAAGGAATTAATTGATTAAACTGTTCATCACTTGTGATTTTGGAGATCTGCAATCCTCATGGATTGAGGGACTTTTCTCATTTTTAGCAGATGGATATCAAAAGTAAAGACAACTAAGGCAGTCTTTTTAAAAACAAATTATTACAAGAAACATAAGGGAATGAATTGTATAAACACTTCAGTTGCTTCTGCTTAAATTGTGAATTCTGAATATCATTATGCAATATAATGAGATACATGTGATTATTATGTTTGTTATACAATAGATGTAATATAACAAAAAATCATTTTAATAAATATAGTCGTAAAGGAGCAGATTTATTAAATGGTTCATTGGCCTCTATTTTAGTTGTGAATTCTGCATATCTGTTTCATTGTATCTCAATACATTGTTTCAAAACCTTTCTTCATTGCATCTCAATATTAAAACTTTCCAAAAATTGCTGCCTTTTTTGATGGTATGAGTAACACTAATTGTAAAATTGTTATTTCATCTCCTTAATGGCTGTTTCATTTATTGTGTGCATAAATCCATTCAACTTTGATAGCCCCTATCAATTGTTTGTTTTAGCATTCTGTCAAATAATTTTGGTAATAATGTAATTTAAGGCCAGTCAATTGTCAAATTAGCCAGTGGGGATGCTTTAACTGATATATAAGAATAATGAGGAGTCAAATATTAACTAATTTGAAAAGTTTTACTTGATGTCACTAACTTTTTGCTCTTGTATTTTTAGTGTGGACTTCAGTGCAAGTGGTCAACCATCCAATTTGAATATAATGGTCACCACTGACCAAGAGGCTATCATCAGAGAACAAATTAAACAGGTAACGATGTTAACAGTCAAATTTGAACAGGGTTGACTTGAAAAGTTAAATATTAATTCTCTTTCTCTCTGGTACCTTTTTTTTGATTTCTTTTACGTATTTTCTGAGTATTAAAATGAGACTGAAAGGCAATTTGTAGTTTTTTTTCCCCCAGGCTACTCTTTTCTCCTAAATTATTAACTTGTATGACCCGATCAATACAAGCTGTGTGTGTGTGTGTGTGTGTGTGTGTGTAATGTCAGATGACAAGTCATTAATCCAACAACACTATATCATTTGCACATAAGATGATTAAAGTGGATGCTGATTAAAACCTAGCATTGAACAAGCTTAAGAACAAAAAAAAAAATCTTGTCATATTTTAAAAATTATTCCTTCCAAAATTCACAAAACCAATTTTAATTTTTTCTATTTCCACCTTTTCCACATGAAGTTTATTCTCAATCTCTTCCATTCCAGCAGGTTGGAAGTGAACACATGATTGATATATATATATATATATATATATATATATATATATTTTATTTATTTATTTATTTATTTTTCAGGTTTATTTATGATTTAACATGTTTTACACTGTACTTAATGAATATATAAATCGTAATTATTTGTTCTTGCCTTATCAGTGTTGAGGCAATTTCTGTTAAGGGATTATTTCGTTGTGTTTACAGGGGTTGGGTTAAATACTTTTCTTCAGACAAAACTTTTAAACTCATCTAGTCTCCTGAAATAGACAGAAACTAACAAGAAATCATCTAAGGTTGAACTAGAAAGTTGGGTTCATGTAGATTATTTGTTATTAAATTATTATAATGAGAAGAAACATTTCATTCTTGATGACCATTTTTGGAATCTGTTTCCATTGCTTGTAATGCAATCTGTAGATCATTTAAGAATATCTTCTGCTTAGTCAACAAGAAGAGAAGAAAACAATTTTTTTTATTTTTTGATGATCAAAAATGGTTACAGAAAAGTCATTTTTTCTATGCAAGTTTAATTCTGCTTTCCTCTCATTTTAATGATAAACATTTATTTTGAATTCTAATTTATTAATTTGACCAAAAATTGTTGACAGCATTCAAATTGGTTGGTTGTGAAAAATGAGACTAACTTTACAAATTTTTTTCCATGCACACATACATCTACTTACTTAAAATCAATGTGCAAGTGCTTATTTTTTTTTTTTTACAATTTTTAAATTGAAAAATTTCTTTACTAAAATTGCATTTCTAACTTTTTCTTGCAGCATGTTCAACTTTTAACGCAAATGATTTTGTTGACCCAGAATCAAGAAGAATATATTGCTGAACATTCAAATGCTCTTCAATTGCTAGTAAGTGGAAAATTTACTTTGCTTTTTATTTTGTTGCCAAAGCTTAATCATTTAATAAATTTGAAAATTCATTTTTTTATATAAAATATTAGCTAAAAATATAACTAAATTTAAACCAATAAGTGTGTACAATATTCTGGTTGAAAACATTTTTTTAAAATATTTATGTCTCTCTCAAAAATAACAGAACTTTCAAATCTGTTTACAATTTATAGTCGGGAGAGTTGAATATTGATTAATCAGTAAGGCAGAATTTGATGCATTTTTATGACTAATTTAAATAAAGTCACTTTAGTTGGATGGCTGAGCCTAAATGCTTTTTGAGTAATATATGCATTATAAATTTACTAATTTAAAAATGTGGTTCCATCACTACAGAAAGTCAAAACTTCAAATTCAATTATAGAATTAAATTAAAGTCCGTAGTCTTGTTTTATTTCAAGCGAATATTCTGTTTCTACATTATTTTTGTAGATACAAATATTTAAGTAACTGTTCTGTTTATAATTTTATGGCATTTCTCTGATATTCAGACTGGTGAATGTAGTTAATGCTGTTTATTACAGAGTATTTACTTAAATATTTGTATTCATAAAAATAACCTATAAACAGAAAATATATTAAATAATTGCTGGACTTAGTCCATTTCATCATATATATATATATATATATATATATGAGACACTTATAGTGTTGAAACATAATTGCCACTATGCAGCGATTTTTAACATGTTTTAATAGCCTATTATTATATATATATATATAATATATTTGTGTGTGTTAATTTGAAATACTGCTTTTGAAGCCAAAATTGCTGCTTTTTCAATGGTTTGCTGATAAAGAGGCATTAAAGGTAAGCAGGTATTGTGGTAGAGTGCTCAATATTGATGAGAGAGAATTAAGATGAAAAAGTATTTTTTCACTTAACTAATGTTTACTTTGCAGTTTTGTGGCTATATAGGTGTAATCAATTGTCGGAACAGTTAAACTCTTTAACATCTTCCAATGAGTGGTTATATCTATAGCCATGAAACACCAAAGTAAACATGAGTTAAGTGAAACAAACTTTTTCATATATATATATATATATATATATATATATACAAATGACTGATTGTAGGTTAGGATGAATTTTGTTATTCAGTGTGTAAATTTAATTTTCAAAGATAATCAATTCAGTTTGTACTTCACATATTATTGGGGCAGATTAGTCTCCCTTTGTTTCAGAATAATTGTTATTGTGAATCAGTAGGAGAAAGTTTCCATAAATTTGATCTTTGTTTTTACAGAATGAAATGCATCGTTTTAGTAAGAATAGTTTGGCTGGGGAAAGATCTGTGTTCAGAGTATGCAACTTGGACGGTTCTTTGCAATTGATAGAGGCTCATAAAGATGAAACCTTTGCTAAAAAGAACAACTCCAAAGGTAAGATGTGATTTGATTCAAGATTTTGTCGTTAGAATGAAAGCAAAAGGATTAATATTCTTTTGTTAGATTTTCTCAAAATATACTGAAAATTGACTTTTTGTCTTTGACTGTTGTACATTTTGGTAACCTGCTTGGACAGCATTAAACTGACGTGTTTCAGTAAACCTTTCATGTTATTTTTTTTTATGTGACGTGTTTCAGTAAACCTTTCATGACATTTTTTTTATGTGACGTGTTTCAGTAAACCTTTCATGACTTTTTTTTTATGCAATGTATTTCCAGTAGACCTTTCATGACTTTTTTTTTTATGCGATGTATTTCAGTAGACCTTTCATGATTTTTTTTTTATGCGACGTATTTCAGTAAACCTTTCATGACTTTTTTTTCTTTTTACTGTAATTATGTTTTCATTTAGGCATTACAGATGTTAGCCTGCGTAAATATTTGATACATTATTAATAGATGTGATTTTGACCAATTTTAATTTGCAGTAAAATATCTTAGAATTAACAGCAATTTGTACATTTTCTTATTGTATGTGTGTGGGATGAAAAGTTCATCGTCTGAGTGATACTAGAGCTGTGAAATCTTGCATGCATTAATTCATAAACTCTTCTTATTAATAACTGTGTTGTTTCTTTTCAGATAAACTGACATCTAACTGTTCAAAGAAAACTTCAAAAGTAACTAGTAGTGATTTCTCTTGAAAATGGATAAAATTGGGCATTGTGGTATTATCAAGTATCTGCATAGAAAGGACATTCATGTTGACATGGTTGCTACATTAACAGCTCCAGCTTTATCAATAGTGTGAAAGTGGGCAGGTGAATTTAGGAAGAGAAGGGAGAGTCTTGAAGATAAACCAATGTCTGAACATCCTGCAACTGCTACCACCAAGGAAAACATCATGTCCACCATAATGGTGATGGATGACAGGCGATTGACTTTAGATCAAATAGCCAATGTTATTAGCATATCCTGTGAGAGAGTTGAGAATATTCTGCACACTGAACCAAGATTTCTGGTGAGTGCTGCATCTTCTGGCACTTGATCTGATTGTTTGAGGCGGGACCAGCTGGTTTCCTTAAACATTTTCTAACCCAGGATGTTTGGTTCACCACTTTGAGCCTGAGACAAAGAGACATCTATGCAGTGGAAACACTCCTCTTGACTTACTCTAAAGAAAGCCAAAGTCATTTCATCTGCAGGGATGGTGATGGTTTTTGGGATGCAAAAGGCATTGTTTAATGGCCTATCTTCAAAAGGGCCACACCATCAATGGAGAGTACATATCCAACTTGCTGAGGCAGTTATAAAAGGCTATCAAGACCACCAAACACCCAGGAAAACTGGCGAAAGGGCTCGTCTCATCAGGAAAGTGCTCTAGCACGCAAGGCTTTGGTTTCAATGACTGTTGTTTGTGACTGGATTTGATCTGGTTGCCCCCACCCCTTTCCATTCTCCTGATTTGACTATTATCTGTTTCCGAATATTAAAAAAACTTGGCTGGGAATCAGTATTGCAGTAATGTGATATCTGCTGTTGATGACTTTTTTGACAGTCACAGATGTCAGTTTAAATAGAAAGAAACAATGCAGTTATTAATGAGTTGAAATTAATGCATGTAAGATATCACAGCTCTAGCATCATTCTTTCATAGTCAATCTATGAACTTTTCAACCTGCTGAATTGTTATAAACATGTTGATTGACTACCTGACTTCAAGGTATATTAGAAATGCAGACATGTGGGAGAAAAAAGGCCTTTGAACATGAATGTCAATATTAAAGAAACAATTATGAAACTCATTTTGTGTTACTGATAATGGCATGATATTTTAGCTGACCCATTCTTCAGGCTTTTTTAATTGTATAAGTCAATAATCTATAAGATGCTTAAAAAAACCCTCTCTTTCATTCTGGTTTATACATCTGAAGAAGACTGTAGAATTGATTGGTCAAAATATTTGTGGGAACAACAACAACAACACAAAGGTTTAGTTCAGCTGTTCAAATAAATCTTGGAATTACTCAAAAGTCAACATGAAATATTATCTGCTTATGAAAAATCAATCACTCATCAATTAACCTTTAGCATTTTGAAGATGACTATTTTCACCAAGCAAAATGTTAATCCTGTCGATGCAAGTTGAATTTGAATTTCTTGCTTGTGTGGTCATATCCTTCTATGGCAACACCTAAAACAATCCTGACTGAAATTGAGAGCCAGGCTACTGCAATTTCAAATATATAGAACTAATATATAAAACTATATTTTGACGTGATTCTGTATACAGTAAATGGGGACTTAATATTTATAAATTATGCAGAGTACTAAATGTTAATTTTAGCTTAAGTAAATAAGGATAATCACATTATTTTTGGGACAAACTGTCTTAATCCTAAACATTTTGAGAATTTTTTTTATTTAAAAACTGAGAATTTTTTTGATTTAGAATATAAATATATATATAATTATATATATATATATATATATATATATATATATATATATATATATATAAAATGTGTTTGTTTAAGAAAGAGTATGGCATTTTCAGCAAAAAGTAATTTCTTTCTTTTTATTTCTCCTTTAGAGTTTACAGTTTCTTTACAAAATCTCCTCAGCAATAACTCCTGTTTCTTGTACCCTCAACTTCTTCCTACGATGAGAATGATAACTAAAAAGTGGTCAAAAGACAAGTGTACATTCTTTCCCTCACAAGACTAGTAAGTAACAAGTGACTTTGGATACTTTCTTTCTGCTCTTATTAATAAAGATGTCATTAATTTTTGTATGGAAACATGAATCACTTGGATGCTTGTTAACATAAGGAAGACTGTTTTCTTAATTCTCATGGATTACATTTGGTGACGGCTGAAAAATGTATAAGCTAATGGTTTGCAACAGCGAGTGTGCAAAGTGATTTGAATATTCAAATCTGATGTTGAATGTGTTGTGACTACTGTTTACAAAGTTATAGATAATAGTTTATAGGTTTTTAAGTCTTAGCTTTCTGGTACTTTGTTTGTTGCATGTTTTGTAGAAAAATGTGTCTATCAGTGTTTTTAGTTGTTTAAAAAGCCAGAACTTCCATTTTAAAAATGAAGAAATCCTACATACATTTTCCATTTCCTTATAAAAATCTTTTTCTATAGAATCTGTGAGAGTAATTACAAGAAATTCACAGTTGTTAGGTCATCCTTAGAAGTAGACTAAATGTTTGCACTTGTAAACACATTTCATACCTTTTTTTTTTTTTTTTTTTTTTCTTAAGGTTAAGTTGACTTCAAAACCAGGGAAATTTTGGGGAGATCAACAAGGAAATGTATAGATTTTTTATGTAGGAAATGATTGTTGGCAAGGGATTATCCATAACCTGTCGTACGTGAGACATTTTCTGATTAATCATGCATAGCTAGGTTTGCAAGTTTCATAGCTGGGCTTTGTCTTTTCAATTAATTACTTTACCCAATCATAGAAATTTGCTTTTAACCCATTAATGCCTACCATAAAATCCAGTATTAATTATAAAGATAAAATCCAGTAGCAATTATACATTTCTTAAATAATAATAATAAATTAAAAAAAGTCCTAATTTAATTATAAATTTCTTCAAAAAAAAAAAATAATCTGGTATTAAATACAGACTTTTAGAAACTCTTGTAAAGAAGTATATATTAAACTTTGTTTTAATAAAAAAATATTTCTTATATTTCAAAGTAACAGAAATGCTTCTGATAATCTAGATAAAAATCTATTTCTAAGCCAGGGCAAATAAGGCTTTGAGTTTTGTGTAGCATCTGCTTTATCATAGGCAGTTATTTGTGTGATATATTCAGATATGGGACTATTTTTCATTAAGAGCCAGTAAAGGTCAATGAAAAGTTATTTCTGCTTGTGCTTTTCAAATGATATGACATGTAAGCAGATTTATTACTTTTTCTTTTTTTTAGTAAATTGTTATAAATAAATGAATTTTTGTTGTTTCTTTTCAGTTTGTTGGGATTAGGTTTTGAACAATTCCGTCATTTTCCTTCCTACATGATGTGCAAATGTATAAGCCAACTTTTGTTACCATGCAAAACAGAAAAGCAGATCAGGACCCGTATCAAGAATTTGCGTTCAAAAAGGGCCAAAGACAATCCTGTCAAGGTCAGTACTTCATACTGTTTAAATTTACATGTTTATTAGTATTTCAAAGTCTGGATTAAGCTTAATGGTGAGATAGTGGACTAGAAATGGAGAGGTTTCAGTTTTGATCACATGTCTGCTGGTGAAAGGTATTCTTCGCAAATTCTCAGCAGTCAGTTCTGTCTGATATTTGTAAAAAATGATTATATTTTTTCTTGTAAACCTCAATTTTTAAATTTTTGATTAGTTATTCTGACTGACTTTTTACATGTGGAATATGATGAAATTGCTTAACATAATGTTTCCATAATATGGCTGTTAAAGTGGATATAAAATTACAAATGTCTCTCATTAGAACATAATTATTTAAAATGGCTTGAATCAGCCAACAGTTATTTTATTTATACTGACAAGTTGCAAATGTCAAAGAGAAAAATTTTCTGGTTATTGTGTAATTGAGTCTTTGTATGTACTAAATTGATGTTTTTAACAAAAACAAAATTTTGTTAATGCGGATAATGATTTTTGAGAAATCCTTTTCTTTTTTGATCATTACAGCACTTAATAGTTAACATTTCTAAAAATTCAATTAGATTTTTGTAAATGAAAGTTTAATGCAAATAGTTGTCTTTTTTTTACCTACATGTATGATTTTAAAAAATAAAACTGAATAGTTAGTAAACAAATTAGTGTTTTATTCTATTTTGTAGTTTGACATTTCCTGAATTAGAGTAAATTTCAATTCAAGCATGATTGTTTTTATTTTATTTTTTCTATTTATTTAAAAAAGTGAAAGTGATAATTCTCCATAGAATCAGATTTTAAAACCTGTAAATCTTATTCACAGTCAGGCAATAATTAATTGTGATTTCATAATAAAAGCAGGTATATACATTAAAGGAAAGATATTTTAGCCCACGCAGTTTTTGTTTGCTATATTTAAATATATTCTATTATTGATGCAATCAGGACAGAGAGTTTTATTTAATTTAAATAATATGTTGAATTTCTTTAAATCTTTCAAATGCGCTAACACTGAAATTCTATTTCAATTGAATTTTCAGATTTTTGATTCTTGACAATTGTAGAAATTTAATACTCAAATATCTTCATTTGTATATATTGAACAAAAAGGATCCTTATATTTAAAAGAAAAAAAATTGTAATTCTTTCTGACTGTCATGTTTATAAAAATTGAATTAATGTTTATATGTGATTTGAATAGGTTTATGGTTACATGCCAATCTTGTAAAACTGGGAATATCTATTGATGATCAACGTTACCGGAATTGCTTTCCTTTTGCACAGTTGTTTGTTTACTGCTGAGAAGCAAAAGTTACCAAGTCATAAGTTTTCTTAATGATTTATCACTTATTTTACAAGTGAAAATCTTTATTGATTGCTTATTATCTTAAAATATAGTTTAGCAGACTATTATTTTTAGAGGAAGTGTATATCAGCTCCAACTTTCAGAGGTTGATATTTGGGGTCAGATGTAAGCCATGATAGGGAAGTTGATTTTGATTGGCTGAACTAGCATGGGAAAGATAGGAGAAAGGTTTCAGTGAGTTGTTTCTTACCTGTCAAGTGATGTAGATGTGTTCTCTTTTGTATCCAAAACAGCTCCCCATTGAGGGTGGGCAACCCCCACTGGATAATCAGATAATGTATAAATGTTTTTATCTGTTTCTTTTCTGCAGGTCCTTAAATGTCAGATGTCTCTATACTCTTTTTATCCACTGATAATTTGACACAGATTTAGGATTCTTTCTTTATTTATTCACCCAAAGTTATATTAAACAATTTCATTTATTTATTTTTTTTTCCTTCATTTTAATCTGTAATGTTTTAAACCTTTAAGGTCAGATGCACCCACAAGTTCCTCATGCTCACAGTCCAGGAGCACCTGAATGTGCTCGCAATTTGTTGGTAGCATTGTATTTAAATACACAGCACTCTACAATTTTCTAAAAGTTATAGATTTCAAAAGCCATATCGGTAGAGTGAGTGGCTATGGTTAATTGTAAATAAATAGCAGAACTGCCCAATAATAAATGACAAAAGAAAAGAAACAGAGGCAATAATATATTTTTTTTTTTTTTTTTTTTTGCAAGCAAACAATATATGCAAGGCAAATTAAAAGTAATGAGGCAAAGCAACAGTCATATGGCAAAAAAGTTCATAAACTAAGAATTGCGGGTTGACACATGAGTAAATTTGGATAAGCAAATGTAGTGTTCTGACTTCAAGACAAGACAGACCAGGACTGAGTCGTATGAAGCTGAGAAATGGTCTATTTTATTGGCCAGGAAGAAATCCAAGCATGCATTTGTGTGCTTATAAATTGGGGGATTTGGGGGGGGGTTGCAGTCATTCCTAGTCTAGATTGGAACCAACAATATCTCATAAACAATAATAGCAAGTGGGCTAAGTTTGGTATCATTTGAAAGAGAAATCAATTTATAGCTTCATATAAAATCAGGTTGTATTGATTTTCAACAGCTTTTGAGATATATCATTTTAATTGCACTAATATCACATAACCAAGTTTTTCAAAAGTTTGGTCACTCCTCTTGGAATTTAACAATTAAAAATCTTTTCAGGTCTGACAGGGTTAACAGAAATTGAAGACCAAAATAATTATTTTATATATATTGATTTTTAATCAATATACATAAGAATTTAATTTAAGACCAGTTAAAGCTTTGTGTATCTCTTGCAGTAATTCTTTTTTGTTTTCAGTTTGGGTCAGATTTGAAAATTCCTTGCTTCACATTGAAGTAATTTAACTTTGATTTTATAAATTTGAAATTTGATGTTTCCAAACTATTTTACTTTTAATAGTCGGTGCAGTTGACAAAAAAGTTACCTGATGATTTCCCCCATGCCACACTGACTTGCATACAGGAAATGATTGCTCCTAAAGATAATGCCAGTCATCCTTCTGCTCCATCCTGGCTCAAGGTAAAGCTTTCAAAATGAATGGTCTTGTGCCATGAGAAGCAATCATCCATTTTCTTTTTGTGTTTCTTTCTAGTTATCTGTTTTGATTGTATTATATTAACCTCATGAAAATATAGTGTGAAGAATACATTACATTATCTAGTTTCTAAATTTCATGTAAGTGATTAAAAATTCTGTTTTGAAATCAGATTATTTCTAATTTGGTGACTATTTATTTTTATTCATGAGTAAAATTAAAGAGGAACCTTGACACATGATGGTCTTAACAATTGGGAATATGAGGTAGCAAAGTATTTGTCCATAAGAATTAAGAGGGACAAGAGAACTCTTCATTTAATTAATGCAGTATATCTATACAGTATTATTAAGATCACACTTAGTTATAAATGTATGCCGTCAGAATATTGTGATGAGTATTCAATATGTAGATAAACCAGGAAGCATATAAAAAATATATACTTATTTTGCAACATAATCTCCTTCCTTGTCAATGCACTTAACCAACACTTCATTAATGACATATTGAACATTATACATAGAAAATGTAGCATGGAAATTTACCCAATAATTATCTCAGGCTATGGACTAATTGATCCACTTTATTTTTCTGTAAAATGATTGCCACATTATTAATTCTTGAGGTATGAGTGGATCAGTTCTCTATTATGTTGTGTATAAAGAATTCTCTGCACTAATTGTTGAGCAGGGACAGGTTCTTCTGCTCTGAGTAGAATGTTTTCTTATAGGAAAGGTTGTTGCAATGTAAGTCACAAGGCAGTGAACTACGGTATTCTCTATTACTGTTTTATTAATCCATGTCTCTCATGTGATTAAACCTGTTCTTCACTGAACCTTTTGTTCCAGGGTTTTCCTTACAGTATTATTAATCAGAACTATGATCACTTTATAGCATATTATTAAATCCATTTTAAAGACCAGGGTAAACCTTGGTTAATGAAAAGCAAAGGTGAGGAGGAAATGAATCCAGGTAAGATAGTAAATTCTTCTAGCTAAGTTAAAGAAATTGTATTCAAATTGGATTTTTATGAGAGGAATTGTTTTAGAGTGCCACCACTACATATAGAGGGAAATATACAATAAGAAAAGCAAGATTCTGTCAATTTTATTGAAAGAAATAAACAATATTGTCAGAATCTTACTTTTTGCTCCTCACATTTTAACTTTTTTGTTTATGATATGAAAGTTTTTTTTTTTTTTTTTTTTTTTTTGCAGTGGGAAGTTGTACTTGAATGAATTTGGTACTTTATTGTAAAACTTGAAAGATTCTTCAATTAAAGTCTTTATTTGTTCTATGAGCTTTTTTGTAAATTCCTTACAGGTGGGGAAGATACTTGTATAACATTACCGAAAATGTTAAATTCAGTGCACATTATTAATGTTTCAGAAACGTGTTATTCCTCCGTCCGTACCAGCCAAGATGCAATCAAATCCTGAGATTAATAAAAATTCTAACAGTAAGAAGAAATCTGCAGGAAGTAAGCAAAAGAAGACAACCACAATTAAAGTTGGCACAAACGAGGAGGTGGAGCTGTTATTTCCTGATACATGGTCAGTTTCAACTGTTTGCTTTCAAAATCATCCACTTTACCTAGGAAGGGGAAACAGTTAAGAAAATAAATACTGTTAATAATATAAGTTGCCCTTATAAGAATAAGTTGCCCTCTAATTTTGAAGTATTTTTGGAAAAAAGCTACAGTTGTATTTAAGAGATGTTTAGATCACACAAAAATTAAATCTGATACTTTTTAGTACACACACACACACACACACAAACACACACACACACACACACACATATATATATATATATATATATATATATATATATATATATATATATTAGAAATTTTAGGTGGATTTGAATAATCATATGAAAGTAATTCATCTAGTCTAGAAGAATCCTCAACTGAATACAGAAAGCAGTGGAAGGCTGTTTTGTCCTCTTTTTGGGATTCCTCACTAGTGCGCATCCACTACTGAGAATCAAACCTGGACTGTTAATGATACACAATGTAAGCGTCATAACCACTAGACCAAGGGGCCTCAATGACAAAGAGGTAACTAACTAGTCTCAATATAGCACTGCTTACTAAATTCCATGACGTAACTCATTCAAGTATACTTCACCAAATGGATTGTGCCCCCCGCAAGCCACATCTTCTTTCCCCATGCTGCTCTCTCCAGAGCATTAGAAGCCAATTCAAGCAAGGATATACAAATGATAGAAATTTTTAGGGGGGATTTGAATAATCATATTAAAGTAATTTATCGTGTCGAGATGAATCCTCAATGCAGAAAGCACCGGATGGCTGTTTTGTCCTATATTATTTGCTGATGAATCCTGAAATAGGATGAAATGGTCATCCAGTGCTTTCTGCATTCTGTTGAGGATTCTTCTAGACTTTATATATATATATATATATATATATATATATATATATATATATATATATATATAGAGAGAGAGAAAGAAAAGAACTCAAAACATCAAAGTAAGGAAATATTGTAAAAACACAAGGAAAAGTTTACAAAATCCATGTTGCTTTCATAGCTTGTCTTTTTCAACAGTTCTATTTCCATGATCTTTTTCAGAATTAATCCTATTCAATTTGAATTTAGCTCTTTTCCTTAAACAATGTAAAGGGTGAAAGAATAAAATGAAGAATGGAGTAACAAACTCTTTTGTTCCCTAAGCCAAAGATAGGGACACATCATCTGCTGGACCCCTAGACATATAGTCATCCAGGGAAATAGAAAGGCACATATGGTAGCAAAAGAATCACTAAAAATGAACATATCAAAAACAGAAGTTCCTCACACGTATTTCAAAACAGCTATTGATACATGCATCTTAAATAAGTGATAAGAGTTATGGAATATTTACCCAAATAATAAATTGTACAAAATCAAACCTACACTTGGGATAAGACACCATTACACTAGTCTTTCCTGAAGGGAAGAATTAGTCTTAGCAAGAATCAGAATTGGTCATAGCAATATTACATATTCGTTCCTTTTGAAAGATGCCAGGAGGCATACACAGTAAAACGTTTTCTTATGGACTGTGCAGAATTTGCCTTTATCTGTAAATGCCTTAATAAAGTGAATAACCTTAAAAAAACTTTCAAAAAAATTAAATGTGAAAAAAACCATTTTGACTAGCATGACAGTTCAAAAGTTTGAGGCTATGCCTGGTAATTTTTTAAATTGGCCCCAAAATTTGTTGTTTTGTACTTTAAATAAGAGAAAATTATTATAAAGGTTAAAAAAAGTGAGGCATGTTTTTGATTAGAAATTTTATTATGACAAAAAGAAAAAAAGCATTTTTTGATTAAATTTTGCTCTCATCTAAATATCCTCCTTAGCCTTGATTACTGCAGCACAAATTTTTGGCATTTGTTACAAAAATTTCTCAAAGTGTAAGTTTGATAATTGATTCCATTCTTTTTTTTTTTTCAATGATTCTAAGAGCTCTTTTTCATTTTTGGGATGGAAAGGTTTCACTCTTCTGTAAAGTTCATTCCATGCTAATTCTGGACATGGCTTCAAACCTCTTGAACTGTAGTGTACCTGAAGAAAAATTATACACCAAATTTTACCGAGACTACTTCACCTATAGATGAACTATACAACCAGTTTTCAACTGTACTTCATGAATTATAAAAATCCAATTTTCAGCATTAAATGGCCCAAGAGGGTTGATATGCTGGTAAAACGAACCAAATCAGAGATATGGTACTTCAGCTTTTTGTATCAAACCCAATTTGACAGCATTGAAAAATGAAATACATAAATAGGTGATTACTGATACTAATTACATTCAGTACACTGACTGGTCAAGTGAATTGCACATTTGAAATCCATACTATTGTTATAAATAACACATTCAAATGAACTGAAATATGCATGCTTGCTTAAATATATTTGCACATAGCTTGGATATATCATATAGTTATTCATGCCTTTTATTCCTAGTTGTTATTCATGCCTTTTATTCCTAGTTGTTATTCATGCCTTTTATTCCTAGTTGTTATTCATGCCTTTTATTCCTAGTTGTTATTCATGCCTTTTATTCCTAGTTGTTATTCATGCCTTTTATTCCTAGTTGTTATTCATGCCTTTTATTCCTAGTTGTTATTCATGCCTTTTATTCATATCTTTAAAAAAATATTTTTACTTTTGTACAATTTTTTTTGTTTTTTTATTTTTTATTTGTAATTAATTAAAATTTTGTTTTTTGTTTTTAACATTCAGTGTGAAAAGCCTGCCACCTGTTGTTGTAATGCAGACTGAGCCTTGTCCTGTGCCTGCTGATAAATTGAATCATTCTCACTCATCTCTGGTTGCTCCTGCTGCTATCACCTTTTCATCACCTCCAACAACATCTATTAGTCCAGAGTGTGTGCAACTGACAACACCACCAAAATCATCACCACAACAATCAAGTAAGTGTGTCCCAATATAATGAGTCAAGCATTCTGTGTAATCTCAGCCTAGTCTAAAGATGTTGAAATTTTCCTCTTCTTTTTTTTCCTTTTTTTTTTTTTTTTCCATTTTTTTTTTTTTTTTTTTAAACAATGATGTTAACTTTGTAAAAGGCTCAAAAGCAACTCAAAGTAGTGTTACAGAGTAAAAGGCATTGTTTATGCAGATAGTTGGGGAAGATAAGGGTTAACCCTGGACTTGAACAGATCAAGATTGTAGTGATCAGGGAAGCATCCTCTTGGGAATCGGTTCCACATAGCAGTTGTTTGTTGGAAGAAGCTGCTCAAGTTGAACTTGCATCTCACCAATGGAATATGAAGGGAATGAGTGTGGTTTGCTACAATGTGCATGGCATAGAGGGTCTTAGCCATGGACGTTAAAAATGGTGGAACTAAGGAATGTAGTTTGTTTGAACACTTTCCATTGAAATATTGATTAAGCAGCGAGAGACTTCTGACATTTCATCTGTGAGAACGGGATTACAGGGTGGAAAATAATTTGTCACCCACAAGAGCATGGAAATGTTTTTGGGCTTTATCATGACTGGAAAGTGAGGAAGGGGCAGCTTCTGCTCATATATGGCTGCAGTACTCCATTTTTGGCCTGATTAGGATCTTGTAGAGGATAGTAGGAAGAGTCAGGTACTTACTGGAGCGGTACAGAGAACTGACCATTTTTACAGAATCTTCAGCAATGGATTACTTGAACTCTGGGTTTTGTTTATCCTAATAGGGATAAATCATGAGGTCTCTATGAGGGGACATCCATTCATTATGATTGGTGAAAGTTCTGGGTCTGATCAGCAATGATAGAATGTCACTAATTTGGTTTTTGAGGCATCAAATGTGACCAGTTAGTTTTTCCCCCACAGATCTTTTAGATCTAGGTCAGAGGTGAAATCAGCTGTTAAGCTCTGGTCATCTAGGTTTTGGAGGTGCACCTATATAATGTATCATAAGCATAGATATTCACAAATGGTTTGAGTATACTCTTAGACAGATCATTTATGTAAAGTAGAAAGTGGTTTGAAGTGAGACTTGAGAGACACCTACATCAACTGCTATTGCCTTGGAGGACTGGCCATTAACAAATACTACCTGTTATAATTGAGAAAACTCTTTTAGTTATTCCATAGCTAGTCCTTAAGATATATTTGTTGTCTAATGCCTCACTGATTCTGTGAGTAAGAGCAGTCAGGATATTAGCGGTGGACCAGGCTGATTCAAACCTGTACTGCTTGTCACTCAAGAGGTTGTTCCTGTTGAGGTGATAATTTCGCTAAGTTCAAGGATAGCTTTGGGTTAATATACTTCAGGACAAGCACTGGGATTTTTCTGGGCCAGTGGCCTTCTTAGGGTCAGGACTTTTGATAAGTCTTGAGATTTCCTGGGCTGTAATAAAAACTATAACTGAGATTGTGTTCAGTGTGAATTGTAATGAAAATAATTATTATTCTCATAATGAAAACATGAGTAAAAGTTTCTCCTTCAGATATAATCTCAACATTTTTGCCACAAGTATTTGCATGTTTATAATGTTGTTAGAGTTATGTCAAAATTTGAGAGTGAGTCATTATTCCATTATCATATTATTGAAAGGAGTCGTAAATAGAAAGTTTGCCATAAATTGAGAGTATGTCTTTAATAGTGAGATTACAGTAAATTTATTGAAGTAGTTAGCATTGATGATTTCAAGACTAGTCCTCCCAATAAATTATGTCCAACAATGAAAGTCGATTCAGTGCCAAAAAGACATCCACCACAGCCAGTCAAATGACCCCTGTTGGTTGCTAGCACTTGGGTTGCTGACCACTGATTTCAAGCCTATTTTTCTGATTTGTATTATTTTTCACACATTTTTAGAAGTGGCATTTTTGTGGGTGTGTTTCCATATTTACTCATAGTGGAATAGATGTTAGAAATTTGTATCGTTCCAGTCTGCTTTTAAAATCCCAACTTTGATTTATGCCTCAACTAGTGGCAACACATAACTACGTTGGGCACTAGGCAGGCTGCTTTAATGGAGATGACACCCTGTCTTGTATTACTGTACAAGTATAAAAGTTTAACTGGGATTTTAACCAAAATACATTTTTACAAGCTCCCATTCTGACTGTTTTTGTTTTCAGTGAGAATTCAAAAATGCACTTTGCCAAGGCACTTAGCAAATTTATGGATTTCAGCTTTAAAATTAAAAAGATAAAAAAATTAAAAATAGCATGAAATGTTTTTTTTTTTTTTTTTTTTTTTTTTTTTTTTTTTTTTCCTTTTTAATTCTTTTTAAAAATTAATTTGTATTTTTTCTCTGTGGATGTCTGTTTATTCCTGTGGGCACCTCTTGTAGTGCAGAGCTGCAGCCCCAATTGTGCTGCTGTGGTTTTAGAAGAAAGTAGGTTTTTGTTTTTTTTATAGGCTAAATTCACTTGACCAACTCGGTGTTTTTTCCTACATTGTTGTTGTTCTAGACTGGTTGCCAGTCAAGGCATTAGTTTGAAGTTAACATAAAATATGTTGGTCAGAATTTGTACTCAGCTGATTCTTTCTTTTCCATATTGTTAATCATGAGGCCACATATTTGTGGTTCTAACATTTCTGTGATATTAAATAAAACAATAAAAAACAAAATCTATCCTGTTTACTCTAAACTTGTGAAAGATGATGTTTAGTGTTTCATTATCCATATAGGTGTTTATGTGCAGGTAAAAAGTCTGCTGTTTTTGTTAAATTGGATTCATTATTTAAATTTGGACTAATGTCCTCATTTTTGTTTTTGTTATCACATCGTTTTGATCATTATGTCCCCCATTCCTTTTTTGGTGATTGAAATCAAAATAACTATGTCATCAAATTCCATCTCAGGACTGGGTAGAACAAAGTCGGTGGGAACAGGGTAAGCCATAACTGAACAATATTTAAAAAGAACAAGACGAGATATTCCTAAAGGACAACGGAATGAGAACAATCTACTCCTCTAGATCAGTGATTCTTAAACTTTTTTTCTTGTTTGCACCCCTCCTTTCAAACCACCAACCAGTTCTCAGACCCCTTTCAAACCACCAACCCATTTTCGCCTCCCCCCCCTTCAAAACACCAACCAGTTCTTGGAGACCTTTCAAAACACCAACCCAATTTCACGCCCCCTTTCAAACCACCGGCCAGTTCCCTGACTCCTTTCAAACCACCGACCAGTTCTTTGGCCCCATTCAAGCTACCAACCAGTTCTCACAGCCCCTTTCAAACCACCAACAGTTCTAGCACCCACTTCCAGAACTGATTAAAAAGTATATTGATCTCATGCGTAAATAACAAAACCATTGTGTTTCTTTAATCATTATTCACATAATTGACAACAAAATAATGCATTACAAAAACCCAGTTTACTTTCATATTAACAAACAAATAAAATTATGCTATTATGATGGTAGCAATTGGTGAAATTTCTACAATGTAAAGTTTTATGTCAGATTGCCAAACACTATTCTAGAGTTTCCTTAAAACCAACTCTAATGAATCAGTATCCTTGCACACCCGAAGAACTGATATTGCACCTGTAGGTGGTGCAAGCACACCTGGTTAGGAACCACTGCTCTAGTTTGTAATTCCCTGAATATTTTTGCTTGAATTGACAGATACCCTGAAGAAGTCCAGAAGGTACAATGACTGAAACTTTGTGATGCTAACAACAAAGATGAAGACATTAACGAAACTATAAATAATGATAATTCTTCATCGCAGAAATTCAGACATATCATTTTTTTCTTTCCAGATTCTTCTAAACCTGTCATGGTTGTCACCAGTTCTATCAATGCAATAGCAACAGTAGCCACCCAGATTCTGTCCACTAGTCCATTGGCTAGTGCCAGCAATCCACATTTCATCTCAGAGGCCTTAGCAAAACAACAGGAACTTCAGAAAACTCCTACCAAAAACTTGGTGCCTGTATTTAAACCTTTTCAGAAAGTTTCTTCCAAAGTTTCTCCCTCTGTATACAAGCCCCTTGCCCCCAAACCCCTACAGATTTCCCCACCTGCTTTCCGGCAGGTTTCTCCTTTTCTAGAAAAAAAGCGTAGCAGACCCCGAAGGCAGGAGTTGCAACAGAAAGCCCGGCTCATATGTCCAAAAGGGTTCATCATCAAACCACATATCTCACCAATTAATAGGGCAGCATATGGTCTCAGAAAACGAGCCGCACGATCACCACGGATCACTAGAAATAGTGAGCCAAGGACTATACTACCCAAAAATACTTCCCCAAGCCCCAGCACATCAAATGCCTGTTGCAATCTGAATTCAGAAAGGCTAAAAAATATTCCCAACATATCCAAAGACTCAAGCCCATTGAATAATGTTTTTGGCTCAACACGTTCTGGAAGCAACAGGAAAAACTTTGAGGATTCCTTACCAAATTCTGCTACCAAAGATAACTGGCAGAACCAAAAGTCATCAGAAAAAAACAATTCATGCAGTGGTTCTGGAGGAGGACTGAGTGGAGGGAGTGGTCCTAACCTGTGCCAGCAAGATGAATCCAATCTCTCTTTACAGAATGGAGATAGTCACATTGAAGATCTGATGGCAGCTAGCAGCACAATCAAGTATGGCAGGGTTTTGTCTTTTTTTTTTTTTTTTTTCTCTCACTTATATTGCTGAATTTCATACTTGTTTGAATTTCACCTTTGATCAGTAAATGAAATTGGAGGTTAAACTTAAATCAAATTTCAGCTTACAACAAATCAACAGTCAGAATTAACACTTTCAACTTAGTTTTCATTTTAGTTACCACTTTAACACATTGTTATCATGTCAAACACTAATTACATTTGGCAGCAAGGTCTCTGATTAGGAGATTGGAGGTTTTGAGGAGCATGGAACCACCTCTTAATTGTAGTTCCCAGGTCCATCCTTAGAACCTCTTAGAATCCTAGATATGGGCAAGTAGTGAACCCCTCAGATAAAAACAAAACACTGAAAATATAAAAAAATACATTTTTGTATAAAAAAAAAAAATAGCAACAATACATATTTATAGTGAAATGACCTGTATCTGTAGTTAAAAGCATACAATTGTTTTCAAAATATTTAGATTTCAGCATTAAATAACCCATAGAGTTTGATATGCTGCTAAATAAAATCAACCAATCGAACTCTAATAAGCATTACTTTTAGGTACCAAATACAAGAGGAGGTTTTAATAAACAAGAAGTCAGCATTTTGTCAGGATGCAATAAACAGGGTGGGGGCATCTTAATGATGGGGAAGTTGGAAAAATCATTTAAAAGATCAAGAAGTATGAAATTAATAAATGGGGTGGTTTTAATAACCTTAGTGGATTCCAAAAATTTCATTAAAAAATAAACGAATAGTAATACCTACCTCACTGGTGTGTTTGTCAGGCACCTGAGGGAATTTAATAATGTCACTATAGTATTTATGGCATACTTTAAGATTGCATAACTTGTAATAATATTATTCAGGCATAATTTTTATTTTATTTTTCACTTTTTGGTTTTGAAACTGCATTAATATTTTCTTTTACTCATATCCGATTATTGTTTGTTTTTTATTGACTGTACAATGACTTTTGACCAAGCATTTATAGTTTATCAGAAAACTCTGAACTATTTTCAGTTCTAATCTGAAAAGAAGCAAAGACACTCGAACCAAAGCACAGAAACGGAATGACATAAAACTTGCCATGTTAGCACCAAATCTGATAGAGAAAGATCCTCGAGTAAGTGATTCTTTATTGACTCTTGGATATTATTTCATAACATTTACTTACTGTTAATTTTTGTATTGTGAAAATGAAAACCTTTTATATGTATTTGAGTTTTGTTTTTAGGCAAGAAGCATAAGGATATCAGTAAGAAACGTTGGCGAATGAATTGCTTAAAATTCATTGTACTGAAAGAAAACAAGATCTTAATTAACAAGCATATATTAATGATATTAGTTTTGATTCTGAAAATATTTTAACTAGCAAATGATTGAAACTGATTTTTTTATATTTTTTTTTTTTTTTTTTTTTTTTTTTACTTCCAGCGAGATCATAGGGATACGATTTTTGCTCAGGCCTACTTGACCAAAGTGAAACAGACGTTGAAGAATGATATGGATCGATATGAAAAGTTCTTGAAAATTCTTTTTGAATTTGGCAAAAGTGATCATTCACCAGTTGTGGTAATACATCAGTTTTTATATCTCATTCATTCCTTTTGGTCCCTCAGTTATTTTCCTTTCAGTTTTATATATGAAAAATACAAGGTGAGGAAGCAAAGCTTTCAAGATTTGAAGTAGGCTTATTATGTAGGAAGAGACCTTTTAATACGAAAAAAAGTAGTCTTGGGTATGGTGATAAACCATGTCTGGTTGTGAGGAGTGTGGGACCACCTCTGAATTGCTTTTGTTTCCAGGTCCACACTCACCCAGGGTATTAGCACCTGTTAGGGTCCCTGTTATTCTTGTATATACTTATGTATTGCCTAACACAGGAATTGAACTCACAACCACAAGCTAACAGAAATTAATGCTTTTTTGTTGTTGGATTGGCCTATCTCATCTGTTCTTTGTAATGGGTTCTGCCATTGAGCTCAATATAAGCCCATGGTATTTCTTCTAGAGATTGTACATTCATTTGCCTTTGGGATCTACGGGTAATTTTTGCTTGGCCTACGGGCTCGAAATTCCCATGTAAAAAACGGCCTTGTGTCATGTCCTGCTTTGTGGGGAGGTAACTGGTAAATACTGTTAGAGGATGAGGGATGAGGAGGAACTTCCACTCGGAGTAGATGCTGTGGATGTAGTATCTGTTCTATGCCATGTTCTCTCTCCACCTCCTTGCAATCTTGTTCCGTAACACCTGTTCTGTAGTGGTGGTATGACTGGCTATGACTAGCTTAGACAAGCTATGACCAGCTTAGACCAGCGGCCTGAGTAAAAACACAAAGCTCCCCATGTTTAAAACTAACCTTGTATCACAACCTGGCTCATTGTGTCAAGGTAAATCCCGTACATTCATTTGTCTGGTGAATGCCTGGCAGACCATTTCAGCAAATAGTGTAACAAAAACAAAACACTATGAAAGTATAACAATACAATTTTACAGTAAAAATGACCAACACTACCTATTTAAAACATTATTGACCAACACTACCTATTTAAATCATTATTGATCAACACTAACGATTTAAATCATTATTGACCAACACTACCGATTTTAAAGCATTATTGACCAACAATACTGATTTAGAGCAAATTGACCATGATATTATTTGTAGTTGAAGGCATAGAATTGCATTCAAAATATATTTAGTTGAAGCTATAAAATTGTGTTCAAAATATTTAGATTTTCAGCATTAGGGTTTAATGTCCAATAGGGGAAAAAAGTTTCATTTTCAGACAAATTTTTTTTATCTGTTTTTAATATAGTAACTAAGAAACTGAGGCACCTTGAAGTACCTGAGAAGTGGCTAATATCTCTTCTAGACGTATGCATTGACAATTGGACAAGCTCAGAAAGGCATAAAAAAATTAAGATCAATGTATAAACATGTCTGTAGCTAGTTTTTGAATGTCATGCTTTGGATATTTTTATTTGTCCCTGTCTGTAAAAGACATTTTCGGCAAAAACGTATATACAAATCTACGTCAGGGGAAGGGGTTAAATAATCCATAGATATGCCACTAAACAAAATTAATGAAACCAATACAAAACTGTATTTATGAAACTCACCTGTAATCACAAAACAAACAATATATATTCATTGTGGTTTCTCTTATTTTCAATTAAAGCTTCAGTATGAAAAAGCCGAGAAAAGCTACACAACTCTGAACCATGTTATCTTTGGATAACTTAGCCCAGCCCTCCTTGATGGTGTTGAAGTTGAGGTCCAACCCCCACCGCATGCTTTGGGTCTAAGTTGGAGGGAGGCAAGAAATCGGTCAAATTAGCTTTGCAGAACTTCTGCATCTTTTTGGCTGTGTAGCTGGTAGCACCATCCTTAATCTATAGATAGTTGGCCTTGTACCATGACAAAACCTGATTCTTTAGGGCCCTGTAGCAGGTATTTCTTTTTCTCTTTTCTTTTAATGCTTTATAAAAGACTGTGATAGCAAATGACACTTATGGTATACCAGTTTCATTACCAAAAATAAAATTGATATTATTTTGAATTGATCTTTTTACTATTTGTTTCTAACATGACAAAATCTGTGACAGTGTTGGAAAGTTATTTTTTTTAACTTTCTATTGGGATAAAAATTTATTCAGAAACTAAATCAAAATCTGGTAAGTTGACTGAAGAATAAAAATATCAAAATGCAGAAAAATAGGGTTAAACCAGTTGAGAGGGTATGATTTATTATTATTATTATTGGTGTGGCATCCTTAATAAATGGCAAGATTATTGATGCAAGGATCATAGTAATTCAGCCTAGAATTAGTGTAGTGTTTGTACATTGTGAAAAGTGTGACTGTAGATTTCAATCTTGAATAAGGAATGTATATTTATTATATTCCTATAAATGAACAACTGTGGCACAAGGCCAAAGGCGAAGTGAGGTAAGGCTGGTCAACATTAACTATCCTAGACCTAACTAATCAGATTCACAACTTCTTCATCCATTATAATTTGCACATTCACCACAAGAACTCATCCATCACCATTCAATCCTACACGTACCACAATACCAGTTTCACAGGAAATCTACAAAACACCACTTGATGTAAAAAATTTTAAAAGTTAAAAATATATATATATATATATATATATATATATATATATAAAAGGCAGGATGTGTGTGTGTGTGTAATCTAATGCACAGCCGCAATTTTGATGGATTTGCACCAAAATTTACATGCACATGCTCCAAGTTAGCAGGAAGGCCAAGACCGACTTTGCATTTCCCAACTCCCATCGATAGTGGAAATAATTGATTTTTTTTTCATGCTTCTACAGCAGTTTTCATGTAGTTTGCAGCCATTTTGTACTGGCCAGAGTGAGAGCCTATAGCTAGCTGCCACGAATAGGCAGGAAGATTCTGTTGGCCAGCGTGAGAGCCAACAGCTGACTGACATGAATGTTAACTAGCATGCTAGAATGCAAAAAATATTGATAACTGCATTTGTCACAAGTGGGAAATATTTAAATCTGCATGGTACTTTACTCCTATTGGCTCATTCGCTTGCTTAAACTCAACGTTGATTCTGATTCCACAGAACTGGGTTGGATGTGAAAAAGTATCTATTGTTAACATTCTTTTTTCATTCGGTTTTTCCAGTTATGAGCCTTTTTTTAAAGCTGATTGTTTTGTGTTCATTTTGTTTAGTTCTTTTTTCGTAATAGATTTAATGTTTAGTATAGAGCTTAGAAAAAATTTGCAGTGTGAGATAGGCAAGAATTAAGGCATGTAGCAACATCAGCATGGCAAAGGGCACTCCTTTAAAGGCAAGGAAGGGCAAAAAAAATATTTTTAAGTCAAGTGATAGCGATTGCTGTATGAGTCGTACGATTTTTGAATCAAGCACAGGCAACACTGCTGGTATATATATATATATATATATATATATATATATATATATATATATATATGCATTTTTTTTTTTTTTTTTTTTTTTAAAAACTTCATGCACATGAAATGATGTGAGGGGATAAACAAAACTAAAATATAACAAAAAATTAAAACTAAAAACAACAAATAACCATCCACCCATCAAAAATAATAAGAGCAATCTCTGTATTCTGCATATAGATAGAATCACACTCGCTTATAGAGTGGGTAGGAGAAATAAATGATGGAAAATCAAAGACTGACCCAATCGAGATACAAAAGAGGGGACAAAAACCAAACTGGAGAGGTTGGTAATCTCAACATGAATCATAACAAAAGAGAATGCTGGGAACAGGCTGGAAACAACATTTACTCACATTAACTAAGTAAAAAAAAAAAAATAGTGTCTAACCAAGGGAGGATTCACAGGAAACTGCCCTGTTGTGTCAAAGGGGACTTAAAAAAGAAAATCAAGGCTCGCCCTGTTCACATGAACCAAGCTCGCCACAGTAATCCACATTTTGCTGAAATCTGTCAATAAGTTTTTATCAGTTCTGATATTTATCATGAGCTGATGCCCAAAGAATCTGACCATATCTTAATGAGAATAGTGTTCATATCGCAAGATTCCCTCCATCTGTGATATCCATCATTTTTGCCACAGCTAGCAACATGAGGAACACTATCTGTTTCACCCCAGAGAACAAGGGTGACACATTATCGCACATGTATGCAAGATTGATGGACATGAGATATTTAGGATGAATATGAGCTGTCACCTTGTTGATATCATCCCAGAACAGCCACACCTAAGGACAACGGTAGATGGTGTGTGAAGATGTTTCCTCTAAACCAAGGTCACTGATGAGAGACAAATCTGCCCATCCCTGTTTGAATGCTACGTCATTGAGAGATAACATGTTCTGAATCAGTTGCCAGGTAAGCGAAAACTCAGGGTTGCTGAGATAATCCACCGCTGATGTCCAAGACCAGGAAGAGTACAACTTGGTTGTTAACGGGCTGAGCCACTCCGCATAGAGGATCCTTTGTGACCCCTTCCACTAATACATGATACAATAGTCTACAAGACTGTGAAAAGTCACTGGACTGAGGAATGACTTTCAAGACTGCCTGTGGTGGAGTGATGGTAAGGCTAGGGAAGATGTCCCTAACACTCCCTTCCAAGGTAGACTCCTCTGTCAATGCTCAGCTTAAGAAAGCCAACCTGGATGTGGGATCATCAAGTGCAGCATTCCCAGCAGCCCCCCCCATGACATGGGCATTAAGCAATGACCTCACTGCAGATCAAATGCTTGTGACTACCCCACAAGAGGGAGGACAGCAAACCCTGGAGCGCCTTCCTATGGCCCTTGCAGATAGGACGTACTGACAATCGATAAAGGATAAGAGAAAAGATTTAAGTGGCCCATGCCTTAGCCTTCTCTTACCTTTCAAGCACCTTTTGTACCAATGCAGCACAACATGAAAATGGATATGTCATTGGTGTATGCAGACACTCTAGCACAAGAACCTCCAGGGACAATGATTCCATGTATGCTCTGTTCCTTAGTTGGTGAAGGAGGGGCTCCAATGCCAAAGTGTAAAGTAGGGGAGTGATACAGGAGGCTGATCCACTTGCAGAAGTTGGATTTGAATCCAGTGGCCTGCAGGACAGCTGCCAGGTACTGATGGGCAACCCTATCGAGTGCCATTTCCCTTGGTGTATGGTGTGTGCTTCTCTTGGAGTGCCACGTAGTCTTCAAAGCTCTTTTTCTTTGGCCTATTAGTGGCCTGTGTCAGCGCAAATTGCTGGGGAGGGGGGGAGAACTCAACCATATTCAAGGGGTTCCCTCACCAGCACAAACAACAAAGTTCACAAGAAACACAAAGATATTCAACACAAACAAATGACAAATTGGTACAACACTGGACAATATATGGACAAATATGGGCTCACTTTTGTCTCTCACGAACAAGAAAGTGGAATATTCCCAGAAAGAAAAGCTGTTTTGGATAGGAAAAGACTGCAGATCTTCCTCCCCTTCATAGGCAGAAGTCCACATATAAATGCATTCTGGGATATTTTTCTTAGCCAATAAAATAGGATGGCTTGCAGTTTGACATGACTCACTCCAGATTTGTCAATTCAGGCAGTTTGGGCCGAGCTGTCAAACTCTGCTTTCCTATGCCGAAGGGCAGAGTCTCGTCTGGGGAGGTAGACAAGCCTGACCCCGTGTATGTGGGGTCTATGAGAAATTTTTGCCCAAGCCTACAAGCTCAGATTCACCCCACGTAAAAAAATGGCCTTGTGCCACATCCTGCCTTGTGGGGATATGAGGTAAATAGCCTCAGTCCAGATCTGGCTTGTCTAGAAGACAGACTGCTGCGATTGCTTGTCTGGCCTTGCTTTTGTGTGTCAACTCCAGTTCTTAGTTTGTGAATTTTTTGCTTTGCATATATTTGCTTGATATTTCATTTTTGCCCTGTTTCGTTTTCTTTTTATTGCAAATTTTGTCAATTCTGTTTATTACTAACTCATCAGTGGCACATAACACGCACGCTTCTTATGAGAAAAAAATAATTCATATATAAATAAAAAAAAATTCCTTTTGATTATTGTAAAAGTCAATCCACTAATCAACGTTAGTGGGCATTGGATTAAATCAGAATTTTGTAAACTAGATGAAAAACTAAGAAATGAAAATGCACTGGATGTTACAAATTTCCATCATTGCGATTCTATGACTATAAATGATGTAAATAGTTTAAAGTTGTTTGAGATTTTGGCTGATTTGATTTTTACTCATCTGGAAAGTAATTATTCATTAAAAATAACCACATCTCTCCAAAGCAAAACTCATGAAAATTACTACAAGAATGGAAACAAGAAAGAAGCCATTCTTTCAGAAGAATTTTGTTACTTTTCATTTCTTTGAATAAGTTTTTTTTTTTTTTTTTTTTTTTTTTGCTGATTTTAATATTTTTACTTTTTGATTCTCTGGTATGTTTACAGTTTTATTTATTTTTGGCTTTCTTTTAATTTTCAGCTTTATAAAAGTTTGTCTTACCTTTTGTCGGATTATCCTGAGCTTATCCATGATTTGGCTGGCTTCCTTTCCCCGGAGCATGCTTTACAGTGTGGATGTTACAACACTACCATGGATTTTCTGAAGGCACGCAACTTCCTCCGGAAGATTGAGGTAATTTCCCTGTTTTTAAAGCAAAATCTTTTTTGTTGAGTCATTTATTGCCTTAACAATTTGCTTGAACCTTTTCTTTTTCTACATTTAGTCAACAAATCTGCTTGACACACAAATGCAAGCGGCAATAATAACCAATGAGATGCATTGCTTGCTTTCTTACTTTTTTTTTTTTTCCCTGTATATTTCATGAATATTTACCAAGTGAAAATCAATTATAGACATTGTTTTTATTCAAGATTTATGTTGATAATTATGAAAGTAACAAGTAGTTGGAAATGAATTACAGAATATAAACATATAACATAAAAATTAGAGTATAAACAAAAATGGTTAGAAATTGGGAAACTGAAAAGATATTTTTGGATCAATCAGATTTTATTGAATTGAGACATTGGGCTATTTGAGCAAAATCATGAAGAATCAAAACAAATCAAATGTAATTTGAATAATTTCCTTTGTTTAAGCCAACATGAATATATTAAATTGTTGTTTTGATTGGTCATACATTGTTTCTTCAGCCAACTAGTGTCTATTGTGAGCACCTTGATAGAGTATAGGTATAAATCTATCATTTCATTAGAAACCAAATTTTGAATGCTTAAAATCTATATGCAGTGTACAAAGAAATGTGTGAAATATAATAGAGACAAGGAAATCCTTCAGTTCAGATGCAACTAACATAGTCCAAAATGACTGTCTCCACAATCACCTGGGGTCACTTGGAGGAACCAATTTGTGTTCAGATATAGCTGTTTCAACACTGCTATTTGGTGACCTTCATAAAACACAGGAACACTTCTCATTGTCTTTTGTTTAAGGACAAAACATATATAGCACAAAGAATTTGGGACATGTTGAAAATTTCTTAAGTCCGCTTAATCTACTTTTTGGTTAAGATTTATCTATTAACGATCCTATTTTTTCTCCGTTTCCATTTCTGTAAGTAGCAGCCCATAACTGTGGATATGCTCCTCTTGGTAAGATGATAGAGTTGTTGTAAAGCATCTCATCTTAATTAATTCTGGCCCTGTCACTGTCTCATATGATCTAATTTCTTTGATGATTTTGTTCATGTATACTTAACAAGATAGGTGAAATTATTTAAAAAATAAGTAAAACTGTTTTGAGAAGTAAATAGTCAGAAAAATAATCATTTTTTTAATCACTAGAAACTTGTGCTCTCTTTCAAACTTAACCTGCCATTAGGTGAGATAGTAAATGTGACATAACAAAACATGGCTTTCATTAGAACACACACACAGTAAAGTTGATTCTAAATGATTCTATCTGAGTCTTAAGTGTCTTGGGATTTTATAACCAGTAGTAATATCTACGAAGTAGGATTTGCAAAGTTTTTGTGCACACTGATGTGAATGAGCATTGAGACACAATGTTGGTGTGATTTATTTGGTCTGTGAAAAAGCTGAGAGAGGAACCCATTGTATATTTTTAGTAAATGTTTCTACAATGGACAAAAGTACCTCAAAGCAGAAAAATTGATACTATTTTCTGATTATAGGAAACTGATAATATCGTTATGTTTTTAACATAGTTTCAATATTTTTACTTCTGTAATAAATGCAGGGCAATTTAAATTTAGCAAACACAAAATTTGTAAACAGAACTGGAAAGAAAAAATTATTCTTATAATCCAAAAATATATTGTGGCTTTAAATAACATACAAAGGTTTGATAAGCAGTAAAAAATCAGTTGATTGTAATCAGAAAATCCTTTTCATTTACAATTAATGCTAAATGTCCAGATCAGTTTTAAAGTTTTTTTTCTCGTCTTGTAGATTATCTTTGAGAAACATCCAAGCCAGTACCAGAAAGTCCTACGGATATTTGCTGAATGGCAGCACAAAAGTTCGCATAAAGAAAAAGAACTTTATGATATGTTGCTGCCAATGTTCAAAGGCCAGGATCAACTTTTGGCTGAATTTTCTGGCCTCTTTGGCTTTCACTCACCTCCCGAAAGGTTAGCTAAATCAGACATTTTTTCTTTTTTGCATATCCTTTTCTCTTTTTCCTTTCTTTTCTCTTCTTTATTCTCTTCATCTTCCTCCCTCTTTGTTCCCCTCTTTCCTTCCTCTCTCCTGTGCGCCTTCCACTCATCTGTGTTCCCCACTTTCCTCCTCCTCCCACTCATCTATGTTTTCCCACTTTCCTACGTTCCTCCCCTGCTCCCACTCATCTTTTTTCCTACTTTCCTCCCCCTGCTCCCACTCATCTATGTTTTCCCACTTTCCTCCTCCCACTCGTCTATGTTCCCCACTTTCCTCCTCCCACTCGTCTATGTTCCCCTCTTTCCTCCTCCCACTCGTCTATGTTCCCCACTTTCCTCCTCCATCCTATGTCCCCCTCCCTGTCTTCCTCTTGTTTTTAGGAGATAAATAATTGTAAGAAAAAAAAAACAATCCCCTCCACCATAATAAAAACAAAAGATAAAAAAAATTATACTTGCAGGAATTCAGAATTTAATTTTGTGATAATTCAGCGTTTATTCTCTCAATCCTTGTGTTTGGATGATGTTGATAATAAATATTTAAAATAAAATTTAACCAAGTTGTTTGTAAAATCAAATATTCTTCTTTTATGTTCTTCAAGTTGTTTGTAAAATCAAATATTCTTCTTTTATGTGCCATGTCCCTTCATGGTGTAGGCGATCATAGTCCTCCACATCTTTCTTTCCCTTGTAGCTCTTAATAAGTTTTCTTTTTGTTATTTCTCCTAAACCCTGTTCTACCATCCATTTACTGAAGCTCATCAAGCCTGTTATACACTGCTTTCCTCTGTCTCTCTTTCCTTTGATCAGTCCCATTACTATCAGAGTTTTCAAGCCTTCCTTTCTCATGATGTGTCCCAGATCAAATCAAATATTAGTCATCTATAAATAAATTGTGATAATATTGTCAATTGTTTAAATTTCAGCCATACAGAAGACTTTGAAGAGGTGGTTCTTGATGGTACAGATTCTGACTTTACCAGCAAGCTGACTGGCTTTGAGGATGTAGAATTGCCAGATGAAGCCAACCGCTATGGACTTCCTGGTTGTCCGTGCCAGTGTCACAAAGATAAGGATAATGTGCAAGCAGAAAATCAAGGAAAGAAGAAAAAGAACAAGAAATTAAATCATTGTTCTCTCTGTGGACTTACCGTATGCATTTTCATTCATTGTTATCTGTTGCTTCTGTTATTGTTTCTAACAAATGATTACTGAAGATTTTAAGATTAAAATGCCCATCTTAAATTGGGAACTACGAAAAGCTCTGTACTTACAGCATTGGAACCTTCAAAATATCCTTTCTTTGGGAATAAGTAAGGGTTCTTAATTGTCTAGAAGATAAATGCCTACTCCTCCTCTGGTCTAGGAGATAACTTACTCCTCCTGAGCTGGTTTAGAAGATAATTTTTTCCTCCTCCTCTTGAGCTGGTCTAGAAGATATTTGTTATTCTACCAAGCAGGTCTAAGAGATAATTGTCTACTCTTTCTCTTCCTCTGGTCTAAGATATAATTTTCCTCCTCCTCCTCCTCTTGAGCTCCATCTGAAAATTGTTACACAAGTGTTTTTTTTTTTTTTTTTTTTTTTTTTTTTTCCAAGACAGAGACAGTTCTAAAAGAATGAAAGAAATAATCTCTTATTTTTTTCCTTCATGTTATGTTCCTGTCTGCATTGAGAGATAAGTAAGGTCTCAGACCTAGTGACATTTTAAATAGAGGAGATAGATTTTTCAGCTTGTATTATTTAACAGTATTGTATTAAAACGATAAAAACTGTCATATTAAAAGGCTGTTTGTACCAAAAAAGACAGGTAACAAAAATATATATGTTACTGTAACTTTGTAATACTGAAATATAATAACAATTCAAAACAGCTAATTAGTTCTCTCTCATTAGAGCAAAAATATGCACAGCAGCATTACTTTTAAACTGACCAATCACTCCTGTTTACAGAGACATGGTTGACAGGAATTAATGTGTACTGATTCAAAAAATGTTCAACCAGTGATTGGTATTATCCTGACTCATCACTGAGAACATGTCTGGTCAAAAAGACCATGCAACAATGCTGCTTTTTAATCAAATGCTCAGCTATCACTAAACTTGATACATTAACATGCCGATGTAAATTGTCCATCTTTCCCTTGCAAATATTGGCTGGAATGTGTTGGTTAATCCATGTCACTAACCTTTGACACCATCTGGCTAAATAGTCAGAATTGCACTGGCAGCTAAATTTTTAAATTACAGAACTAAACTGTTTGATTTTAATGTTATATCTTCCATTTGCATATAACATTTGCCTGGGCTTGTGTATTTTCTACTTGCTGTGCACATTTTTTTGTTCTAATGAAAGGGCATCAATAAACCAGTTCAAATTGTTATATTTACGGTAATATGTCCTGTTAATATATCAGTTTATATTGCACAAATTATTTAACAATATATACACACACTATTTACATGGTTCAGAATTTTGTCCTCAGCTTTGTTGCCATATTCACAACATTTTGGCTGTTGTATACTCAGGCCTTCTTCAGGTGATTGAAATTTTGAACTGAACCCTTTATTCCATCCACTGGCGTAGATTGTTCTAGTTCCATGTGCCATGCCTCTTTCGGATATTTCAGTATCAGTTATCTCCCTTTTAACTCAGCTCTCCAAGTCTTTGTTCACTTCTGCTGTAGCCAGGTATTGAACTCATGACTCTAGGTTGAGTCACTGGATTCAACCTGTACTTTCATCCACTGAGCTATATGTATTTGAGGTGGATGAAATAAAGGGTCCAGTTTGAAATTCCAATCACCTGAAGAAGGCTGACGTGTACAGTGGTCAAAATGTGAATATGCCAACAAAGATGATGACAAAAGTATGAACAATGTAAATAGTGTAAATAATTACAATATGTCATCTCAGAAATATAGTTTGTTTTGTTTTGTTTTACGGCATATCAACCTCAGTGGGTTATTTAATGCCACCAACTTTTTTTCCTGGTAATATTTTGTTTTGTCAAAAATGTATTTCTGGTAATATTTTTTTCCTCAAAAATGTATAGGTAGTAATATTATTTTAAAAAATGTATTGCTGGTAATATTTTTTTTTTTTTTTTTTTTCAAAAAATACATTGCCAGGAATAGTTTTTTCCTTAAAATTTATTTCTGGTACTAATTTTTTACAAAGTATTTCTGGTTTGTATTAAAACCTATTTTTTCACTTTCATAAGGTTTTTTACCTCAGTTTCAAGGTTAACTATTTGCCCTTAGCTGGGACCCTAACAGGTGCTACCACCCCGGGTCAGGGTGAACCTGGGAACACCAGCAATTAAGAGGTGGTTCCACGCTCCTCAAAACCTCCTGATAAGAGGCCTTGCTGTTGGATGTAGTTTATCATCTTACCCTGGATGTTGATGTAGTTTACCATCATGCACAGGATGGCTCAGAAATATAGGCTGTGTGTGTGTGTATATATATATATATATATATATATATATATATATATATATGTATATATTATTTATTTAAAAATATGATTCCAACGCTACATAAGTTCTCATGTTTCAAAACAAGAGTTGAAAACTTCAATATAATTATTTGAATTAAAGTACTAAGCTCTGTTTTCTTCTTTTTTTTTTTTTTTGGAATAACTTATTCCTGAAATTTACGTGTTTTATAAGCATATTCATTATTGAAATTAAGATTACTATGGTAACGGCTAGAGCATTTGTTTGGTTAATAATTTGTATTAATATCTCGGTAACATTCACAGACGTCAAGTCAGGGTAAGGTTGGGGTGTCTAAATTTAAAGCGGAAGATGACATTGTCTAGTCTGGTTAAGTGTCTATGGAAATTTATTTATTTTATTTTATTTTTTATTTTTTTCTGAAAGGGTTTTGTGTATATATTAAAAAAAAAAAAAACTCGTAAGTCGCTAACATTTGCTTTTTGACGATTTTTTTTTTTTTTGTAGGGCATTTAAACTATTTATTTAGACTATGGAATTTAAAAATGATTATATTGTTTGTTTGTTTTTAAGGCTAACTATTCAATGCGAAAATTAGATGTCTGCAAAAAAACGTTAACTCCTGTCTATTGTTTAATAGATTTTTATTATTTAGAAACTTAATAATGTGTAGTTTTTCATGTAGGCATAAAGGGCATGGGTCATCCCAAGTTTTATAATTTTCCATTTTGTATCGAGCACTATTTTTTAAAAATAATAACAAAAATACTAAAGAACTTTGGATTATTTACCTAACGAGTTCTTTCCTATTTTCTGTATATTTTACACACACACACACACACACACACACACACACACACACACACACATATATATATATATATATATATATATATATATATGTGTGTGTGAGAGAGAGCACTATTGATGGCTAACAGAGAAACAAAACGGCTGTCCCTCTGGACAGAAAAGAAAATAAGGTGAAATGATGAAAGGACTTTTAATAGAGGCTGGGAAATGTGACACCAGAATCCAAAGGCACATTGAAATAGCAAAAGATAACCTTTTAAAAAATAAAAGTATAAAGAAACAGGAAAATTTGTAAGGGACATGGCACATAGTAGAATAATATATAAAGAATTCTTTCTTCATTCACCCTGTTAAAATGATTATTCATGCGTGAATTATTTATAAAGCAAGTAATCAGTGATAGAATTTTGGGCACGAGATGGTTACAATCCAATCAGAATTTATGGCTATATAAATGCTATTGTGTTTTGTAAGTTTTCAAACATTTTTATTTTTCATCACAATCATAAAGCTGCATTGCAGTTAAGAAATTATGAAAATATTCCAGAAAATTCAGTTACTGGACACATTCTTCTGTACAGCTCTGATTTGAGACCATCAGATTTTTGGTTGCTTCCAAATTTAAAAGAGGCTTTTGTAATCCAATGTTTTAGTTAAAGTTGATATGTGTAACTGTCTAAAGTAAATCAGCAAATTTCTTCATGGTGCTAATGAATAAGTGGATAGAATATTGAAAAATAAATTTGTAATTTTGAAGAGAAAGAAATTTCCTTCATTTTTCATACCAGTTTCATTATTTTATCTGATCTAAAACTTGTTTTATAGGATTGGAGACCTTACTTATCAATCAACTTTAGTAATTTAAGTCATTCTGTTTCAATTGCACTCATTAATTAAAAATGATTTAATGTTTGTGTATAAGAGAGAATGAAATGCTTTTTTATCTTTGTCGACACACTTAAAAAAAAAAATATCAAACTTTCTATAAAGTTGTTGTCTGTGCAAAGGAAGACAATTTTCATCTCTATTTTTTTTTTTTTTTTTTCCCCAGGTAAAAGATGGGAAACTGTACTTCAAGATGCCTGGCAAATGGAAACAGGCCCGAGCCACATTCTCTGAACCGTTTGATCTTAATAGTCCAGAGAAAGAACCCCAGCCAGAAGAGCCTAATTTTTTGCCAGCAGAACTGAAAACTATCATTAAACAACCTCCATCAAGTAGCAGCAGCAGTAGTATTAGTAGTAGTAGCAGTAATGTTTGTACTGGAGCAAGCTCAATGATTGATCCATCAAAGTCTCTACCATATTCTACTCATTGTTCTGTAAAGAGTACATTTAATACCATTGAGGTAATTAGGAAAAATTTCTATCAATTATTATTTTGTATTTTACATTACTTTTTTGAGATGATTTTCTATGCCAAATTCTTTCATATTTTCAGCTTCGATTGAATGTCATCAGTGTTTACTAAAAAGATTTGTAACACCGCTTGATATTGATTCAAGAAAGTTAAACTGGTGAAATAAATCGGACTGTTGGAACTCTTGTGAGCTTATGATATAAAGAAACCTGAAACAATATATTCTATGTAGATAGTGATTCTTAAAAAAAAAATGTTTAAAAGTTTGAAAGATTTTAAAAGTAATGAGTGAATTAGAGATATTGGAACAATGAATAAATTTGTATTATTTTGATTGATCCACTGATACTTTGGAATAACAATAGAATTGATATATTACATATTTGTTTGAAGCAAGAAATAAGTATTTTTTCTTTTTTTCATCCCAAAAATATGGCAGTCAAATGTCAAGAAATATTGTAAAATACGTTTTGTAGCATATTCAGTATTTACGGAGTGGTTGATTTAATAGAATATGATCGTCTCCCTGTACCACTCCAGTAAGTACCTGACTCCTCATGCTATCCACTACATTTTATAAGAGCCAGATCAGGCAAAAAATGGAGTACTGTTGACATATTTGGGTGGGAGCTGCTCACTTTTCAGTCTTGATAGAGTTCAAAAGCATCTCCGAGTCTTTGTTGGAGAATTATTTTCCAACCTCTTTTTAACAGGTGGAATATGGCAGGCCTCTTGCTGCTATATCACTCCTACCATGAAAAATGCTCGGATGAAATGCATTTTCTGTTTCCATCAGGTCTGACATTCATGGCCAAGACCTGTCCAGCTACTTACATTGTAGCAAACCACCCACATTCCCTCCATCTTCCTTCAATGAGAAGTAAGTTCCACTTGAACATCTTCTTCCTGCGCACCACTGCTCTGTAAAACAGACTCCCAAGAGGATGTTTACCCGATCACTATAATCTTAACCGGTTCAAGTTTAGAGTTAACCATTATCTTCCCTGCCTATTGATATGAACTACCTCTTAACCCTCTACCTTGAGTGGCTTCCAGGCCTTGTAAAAGGTAAACCTTTAAAAAAAAAAAATACTAATAAACATGTAATATTGTAATCTAAATATACAAATGAATTAAAGTAATCTCTAAATATATAGCAGGAGCTATATATTTAGATAAAATCCAAAGAAGAATCTGCAGTATTATTGGTCTTGACCTGACATCTTGGCTTCAGTTCCTTTCCCATAGGCATAACATAACTTCCCTTTGTCTTTTCTATAAATACTTTCATGGTAATTGTTCTGTTGAACTTTCCATGATGATACCTAGACTTTATGAATTTAGCAACATGATTTCATCATTTTACAGTTGAAATGGCTATATGTAACTGTAAGTTCTATTTTAACAGTTTCTTCTGTTGCACTTCTTGCTTGTGGAACTGTCTTCTGACTTCTAGCTTCCCAGTCAACTTTGATCTTCAAAATTTTAAATACAATGTCAATCGTTATCTTCTGTCTTTTTAATTCTCGTTCTTTTATTGTTCTCTCTCCTTAATAGCTTCTTTTCATACTTAGTAACCCCTTGTGTTTTAGTGGCTTTATTGCCTTGCTTGGGGAGGGAGAATGCTTAAAAAAAAAATTAATTAGTATTTGGTTATATGATCTGATATTTTAATAGATTGAAAAATAATGTATTTGAAAATAAATTTTTTTTTTTTTTTTTTATTGTTTTGCAGATAAGTAAACCACTTGATCAGCAGTCGTTCATCCCACTCAAAGATATTTTGGATTCTTCGATAAATGCTGCAAAAGAAATTAAGGCTGTGAAATTCTGGCCAAACAGTTCTAGCACCATTACGTTAAAAGCAGATGATGGTAATAACAGCAACAGTGGGGGCAACAGCATCATCACACCCCAGACAACAGCTATGGCTACGGTGACAGAAATCAGTTCTGGTAGTTGCAGTGACATTTTAGCTAAAGCTTGGGAGCAGGCAGGCAAAAGCCCTGCAGAAGGTGCAGAACTGGATGATAATCTTATGCAAGAGTTACTTCAGATACCAGTCCCTCAGGAGAATTTAGAGAAACCTTCAGAACCTCTGCCCACAATTTCAGTAGCAGCTCAGGTAGACAATCGTTTGTTTGATTTTAGAACTTTTGGTGTAACATTTGTGTGTGGGTGGAAATAGAAGAGAATAACTTAAAGGTAATGATAAAAAGAAATCTCTTGGTTAAAAAGAAGCTGCGCTGGTTGTCAAATAGATCTCTGAAATACCATATATTTGATAGGGTCAGTTGAAGGTCACAAATCCCACCAAAAAAGGGAAAGGATGTTTCAGTGCTTTTTCATTGGCTCATGACTTGACAAATCAGCAGTTAGCAAAGAGGTGAAATTTCCTTTTTTTTTTTTTTCTTTTTTTTTTTTTTAAATAAATATGTGGGTCTGCAAAATGCTACGATTGGCAAGTTCTCTCCCTCACTTCAATCACTGTTTCATTGACAAGTAGTGGGGATAATAAAAGTTGCCAATACATAACATACTTATTGTACTATTTAATATTACAAAAATTACATTAATATTGCAACAATGCCTTCCTTGGTTGATTTGATTTTCAGAAACAGACCATGCAACTTTGGTGTATTCGTCTGAAAAGATTAATGTAGAGATTAATACACCAACACAACTGATATGGCCCATTATAGAACACAATGACTGTAGAGTTGCCAACCACCAGTTCGAGCTACATCCTTAACCATGTTTGATGTCACAAACTCGGGCTTATAAATGGCTGATGGGACTTTGGCTAGAGTTTAGTGGGCATAGGTGATTGAACAGACTTGTCACATTAATCAACATTGATTAATTAAACTGTTATTGATCTAATTTCATCTGCATGAAGTATTTATTGTGTTTAGTAGAATCTGTACGTGATCTAGGATTGGATAACAGATCCAAATCTATTATTTAGTTTGTAGGTGTATGACATCTTGAGAAATTGTCAGAATTCATCTAACATTTTTAGCCATAGCATCTTGTTTAGCCATTTACCAAAATTCTTTTATAAACTAATTTTTACTGAGTCTAGATGGGTGACTGCTTGGGAATACCAGTTGCTGTGAGCTTGGATTTGTGGGTTGTGTATTGGATAATGGCTCGGAATTATTTCCAAAAATAAAATAAAATTGCATGCAAAATATTTAAATTTTGGCATTAAATAACCAATAGCAGTTGATATGCTGCTAAACAAAAAAGACCAACCGATTACCAAGTCAAATAAAAGATCACATGCTGCTTATAATACCTGGTGTTCCTCAGTTGGTCACCCAACTAAGTATTGATATGGTTCAATGTTGCTTAACTTTCAGATGTGCACTAATGCTTTCAGCGTGATATTATAATAAGTCAATTTATCAAATTTCAACTCTATGAGGAAAACAGTATCTACTAAATATTGTAAAAATAAAAAGTATTACTTTGAAAATCTAGTATTTCCATTTTGATAATTTATATGAAATAATTTTCTCTTGTATTTCCAGATAGAAGCACTTCCTGCAGTTGGTCCCAGCATGCCCACAGACTTCCTTCTTCCTCGTACTTCCGAACCATCGCTACCTTCACCATCACTTCAAAATGCCAACTTAATAGCAACTGCTCGTCCACCATCAACAATTGTGCTGCCCCCATTGACAGTAGCATCTCAGTCCCCACTTAGTGCAGTGACAGTGCTTCCATTGTCTTCAGTGACCCTCATCCCACACACTGCCAATAGCTCCAATGTACAAACTGTAAATATAAACAATCAACTGACTGTAGGCAGACACATCGTGCACAGCTATCCCCGTCAAAACGGGATCAGCCTTAACAGAAATGTGATATCAAAGAGTCGGACGAGGTTGTCCCCAAAAGGAAAGAAAGAAGCAACGCTCAATTCTATTATGAATATGGCCATGGGGAAAAGAAATCAACAGATTCTAGCCTCTCCAGTTGTTCTAAAAACAGAGACCGCTTCCCCCAAATCTGTCACTGCTGTTAAATTGCAGTGTGCCCCAGAAACTGTTGAAAGGTGGACAAAGTAAGTCAGTGTTCATTATACTTGCATCATATTACATCATTATTATGAACATTATATTTAGAAGGTACATGTGAAATTAATGCCTGCTGGCATAGAGACGGAAAGTCTTACAAAAGATAATTTTCTTTAGTAAGACTATCAATCTGTAAGCTTATATAATTTCACTGTATAAAAAAACAAGGAGGTCTACTCAAACACTTGTACCCACTAAATATAAAGTTTAGAGGATTAAAAATCCATTAACTGCTGATATTACATCATAGTTACTTGGTATTAATGTCTTCTGTAATTAAACTTGGTTGATTGTGATTAATTTTTGACATTTCAATTTTGCTGTATTTCTCACCATCTTATCTAAACATTTTTTCCCCCAAAATATCTTCAACCCCTCCCTGTGCAAGATTCCACTTTTAGGTTGGAGTAGACTTTTGAAGTGACCAGTACACATTCACCCTACTGTTTGCCATAGTGTTGTGTATTAATGAGTTGCATCACAATGTTTTTCATTGTGAATGCTTAGGTCTTTCAGATAGGCTTTCAAAAGCAGACACATCAGAAAAAAGTTACTGCTTTGAATAAAACTCCAGTTTTTATTTTGGTTAGTTTTACAATATTTTGCTGTTTTTCTAAACTTTAACAAAATCTGATATTGAAAGTTAAGAAATATATATTTTTATGTTGTAAATCAGAAATAAGATGTTTTTGAATTCTGTTTCAGATGAGTCATTATCGTTCTAAAATAGGTCTTAGGAAAAAATTGATCAGCTTTTAAAATTTTTCTGTTTTCATAAAATTTTACCTTTTAATTGGAGTTTTCTGAAAAGTAGATGAATTTTTTTCTTGCTTGTGTAACTAGTCTAAGAACAAACTTGAAACAATTGTTTTATCTGATGCATTTACATTTTCTGCTTATGAAAAAAATACACAGTTTCCTTATGAAGAATACTGTAGAATGGAAGAATTGCTTGAATTGCAATATTCCAAATGAATAGTTGTTGGAACGTAATTTGACATGTTTATCTTTGTAACTAGTAACAATAGTCACTATATATAAAGTTTTGATCTTTTTAAATCTGTTACATATTGTAATTTTTAAATCTATTACTTGTAACTTTAAGTTAATAACTTTAGTATTTATATCACTTTATTATTTTCTTAGGTTATAACTTTGGAGAATAATTTTTGCTGCTCAGTTTTATTCATTTGTTCACTGTTTTTAATTATTTTATCCCCTCATCATTAATTATGACTGTTTTTTTTTTTATTATTATTCGTTAGAGAGATTTGTGTTATTATCTCGTGTTAGGAAATAGAATTGCAACTGGCAAAAATGTCAGACTAGTTTCCCAAATTGATCTCACAAAGAAGGTTAAATATAATGTACATTATTTTGTTTTTTGCTTTTCTGTTTTATTGTTTTTTTTTTCATCGAGTTTTTTTTTTTTTTCTCCAGAATTATGGATAAGTTAATCCTTGATACTACAAAGGATCATGGAGCCACTTCTCAGGTTTTCGAATTTTTATCTACAAAAATCCAAGGCAAAACACCCGAAGCTGTAAGTCAAATGATTCCCTTATTTAATTACATTTAATTGAATCCCAATTTCCCTGTATACATAGTCCTAGGGACTTTCTGTTTATCTGCCTATAATGCTATATTTTTTTTTTTTTATCAAGTCACCCCAAGCAAGGCAATAATGCTACTAAGGTGCAATTGGCTACTGGGAGTGAAAGAGAATAAAGAGTTTAGAAGGAACTGGAAACCCAATCCTAAACAGAAATCAAGGGATAAACTTCTACTCCTGTTCAAAAGACTCTGGTAGGAGGATGAACTGGTTGATGAGTGAATCTATCTACTCCCCCCATCTAGGAGAAAAAAAGAAAGATAATTAGTGAATAAAATTTCAGAATTTAGATGGAGACATTAGAATTATAGAATTGAAGGAAGTGGAAACCCAATCCTAAATGAGAAACAAGGTATAAACCTCTACACTAGTTCATAAAAATGAGGAGGAGTGTGAACCAGAAAAATTCAGGATATGAAAGTGGTAAATATAAAACACTTCAGACACCTTGGCATATATGGATCAGTTATAATAAATTAAGTATTAGAGAAAAGGAAATTGTAGTTTTGCCCGACACCACAAATTGCTACAAAACTGAAATATCAACCTGAAAAATTAGTCATTTTCTCAGGCTCCATTTTTTTTTTTTTTTTTTTTTTTTTAAATGTAATTCTCATATTTTCAAAAGTATGAATAGATTGATGATTTTCACATATGTACATAGCATTTCAGTATTCAGCATAAATATTAATAAATGTATGTTAATAATGTATATGATAGTATATTTATGCTCAACTGAATAAATAAATTTAATGGGAAATGACTGAATAATTATAAAATAATGATTTTATTTCTGATATCTTCAGAAATGTTTGAGACTTTAGACTTTTGAGCTTGTCTTCCAGTGTGGGTTGATCGATTTGTTTTTTATGGCTTATCACCCCTTTTACAGGTAATTTAAAGCCAGAAAATATTTTTAGATTGTAAGATTTTTTTTGAGATAATAATGATTTACAAGTCCTACTAATTAACTCATAGCTTGGGGGGAGAAGGGGTGGTGGATCACATCTTTCTCAAGTGTTTGTGCATAAGTGAATATTGTGGACTTGACTGGAATTGGAACTTGGCTTTTCGATTTCCAATTCCAAGCTGTTATCCATTACACCATCCACATATCCATGCTTACAGCACTTGGCATTCCCAAGCGGTCACCCATTCTACATACTGACCAATCTTGCTTCCAATGTAGAAACCAGCAGTCTTCATCTATCATATTTGGTTTGAATTGACCTTTGAATCTTTTTTCTATACTCATTGCATCCAAATTCACTGATGGGGAAAAATTGAGATAAGAATTCAAGGAGTTTTGAGAGACATCTGGCATCCCAATCTTTGATGGACTGTTAATATTTCTTAAATCAACACATTTTCAGCTCTATGAGATCCAAAAAAATGTTATGCACAATAAAAATGGTTTTCATCCTTCCAGCTCATATTGATACTGATATATGATGAATATGATATTTACCCTGAATATGAATATGCTATGCATTTAATATGCTTCTCAATCCTAATAGCCAAATCTTGATTGCCCATTATTATCTACTGTATTAATAAATACAAGAATTATCTTCAATGCAAAAACCTCTTCCTATAAGAAGTGTTTAGTCTATTTTTGTTAGTGTACATGATTATCATTATTGTGTTTTAATATTGTTACTGTGTTCTTCAAGTGTATGCCTTATTGCAGAAACATTCTCTCTCTCTCTCTCTCTCTTCATATCAACATTCTTCTAAATATTTTTTTACTGAATTTTATCCTCAAAAACTTGAACCAAGGCTGACTATTTGTTTCCTACATAACCTCATGAACTTCACTTTGTGCCTTTTCTTATGCTCATAAAACAACACACAGCAATCCTATTCCTATACCTTGAGTAGTTCTTGGGCCTTGTATGGAGTAAATATTAGTATTAAAAAGATGTTCTGTTACATCATTTTATCTGATAATTGTTGCTTTTGTTCCTGGAGGAGAAACACAAAGCACCCCCTCCCCATGTTGTTAATTTTAATTTTTTTTTAAGTGAGGTTCACCCTTTACAAGGTCTGGGGGAGGACGAGGTAGAGGGTTACATTTGGAGGCCATTTGTGTAAATAGGAGTGGAAGACAACGGTTAACCTTAGCCTTGAACAGGTTAACATTGTAGTGATTGGGGAAACATTCTGTTGGGAGTCGGTTCCACAGGGCAGTTGTTTGCTGGAAGAAGTTGAACTGATTTCTCACTGATGAGATATGGAGGGAATGTGGCTGATTTGCTATGATGTAAGTGGGATGGTGTGTTCTTGCTATGAAGGTTTACCTTGGCAGGACCAGGAAATAGTTTGTCCAAGCACTTTCTGTGGAAATAGCAGTAGAACAGTGAAACACTTGCCACATCCCACCTGTGGGAGAGAGTTTGAAGGCTTGAGAATAAATTTGTCACCTGTAAGGGAGAAGAATACATGTTTGAACTCTGGAAAGTCTGGTCTAGGCAGCTCCTGCCCAATTATGACAACAGTATTCCAAGAGTATGATGCTTTTGAATTCTATCAAGACTGAAAAGTGAGAACTGTGCAGCTTCTGCCCATATATGCCAGTAGTACTCCATTTTTGACCTATTCTGGCTCTTATAAAGGTAGAGGATAGCAGGAGGGGTCAGATACTTACTGGAGTGGTACAGGGACTTAACCATTTTACCTGCATCCTTAGCAATTGATTGTATGTCTGTGTTCCACTGGAGGTCAGGTGTAAGTTTGAGGCCCAACAGGCCTTTCAACGCATGGTACTTCCCTGAGAGGACTTCTGTTCATCAAGATTGGTGGTAGTTTGGAGTAAGATCAGCGATGATGGAATGTAACTAGCTTGGTCTTCAAGGCATTGAATGTAACCAGCCAGTTTTTACCCCCATTGGATAGTTTGCGCAAGATCAAAAGAGAGTTCAGTCGTCAATCTCTGACCAGGAGTTTTAGATGTGTACCCGGATATAATCATAGATGTTTGCAAATGATCTGAGTATATTTTTTGGCAGATCATTTATGTAGATCAGAAAGATGGTTGGTCTGAGGAATGACTCCCTAGGGAACACCTGCATTGACTTCTAGGTCTCTGGAGGACTGGCCATTGAAAACTGCCTTCATTGACCTACCTGTTAGGAAGGATTTTATGATTAAGAAGACCCTCCCAATGATTCCATAAATGGAGAGCTTGTGTAGTAAGCCTTTGTGCCACACCTTGCCAAAGGCCTTTGATATATCTAGTGCTATGGTCCTCAAGGTGTGTTAAGAGACTCACTGTGAATGATGGTAGTTAGGATGTTGGCAGTGGCTCTGACCAACTGAAACCCATACTGCTCAACGATCTTATTGGTTATGGACTCAAAAAGCTTGCTGGTGATACTGAGGAGACTGATGGGTCTATACTGGGAGGGAGAAGATCTCATGCCCGCGTTCTTGAAAACCAGGCATACACTTGATACTTTCCATAGGTTTGGGAATGGATTTCTTCTTCAAGAAGCTGTTGAATAATTTTGATAGGATTGAGGATAGTTTCAGGTTGATATTCTTAAGGACAACCACTGGAATTTTGTTTAGATCAGTGGCTTTCTTAGGGTCAATGCTTTTGATAAGTCTAGAGACCTTGTGTCCTGTGATGGTAATATTACTAAGGTTATACTCAGTGAGATGTGGAAAATTGGAGAGGGGATGGTCTTTATCATCTAATGTTGAGTTAGGGGCAAAGAAGGAGGTGAAGAGTTTTGCCTTATCGGTTGAGGAAGATATCACCTTGATGCCATTTATAATTGTGTGAACAGCCATTTTACCTCTGTTTATGATTTGGTTTGTGATCTTTCAGAATTCACAGGATCCAATTTGTTTTTCAACCTTGGTCTGGACTGCTTGTGTGTAGTTGCACTTGGTGTTTTCTAGGACTTTTTTTTAGATATTGTGAGCAGTACTGAATGCAGTGAGAGCCAAACTACTTCACTCCTTGCAATAGATATTGAAGTAATGGTTTTGACGAGTTATGGTTGTAGCACATTCAAGTTTGAATCAAGGTTGACTTTGGTTTTTGCAGGGATTTCTTTTGGAGTATAAAACTCTCCACTCTAGTAGGGATTCAATCAGTGACAAGGGCAGCAGTTCTGGAGGGAGCATGCTTGAAGAAAGTTAGGAGAGGAGCTTTCATCATGGAGGATTTAAAAGCTGACCCAGTTTGCCTTCACATAGTGGAACATTGTTCTATGGTATGCCTTAGGTTTGGCATCAATCTGGACATTGATTAGTGAATGGTCTGACATTACCTTTTAGTAGAGGTAAAACTTTTGATGGGCATTTATGAAGATTAGGAAGAGAGATTGAAGAGATTCACCTGATGTCCCATTGTGTCCAGGACCCAGGTAGGTTTTCCAATGATCTGGGTTAATTCATAGGAAATTTATATCTTTTAGATCAGGTCTCTCTCATCTTTAGACTAAAATATTGAAATAAATAACTTCTTGGTTTGTTCATTTGTAGTTAAAATGATTCCTTATTTTGTCAGTGTTTGCTAATATTTGACATTTTTATTCTTTATATATCATTTCTCATTTTCATTTCTATTTTTGAAATTTTGTCTCTCATATGTGGATTACAAAAAGATCCAAATAAAATTTAATCATTTATGAAACTGGTGTATCAAAATCATGTGTTCTTTATACTTGATGGTCAGTATTTGAGATGAGAATAGTGAAATTCCTAATAGAAATGTCAAAATTGGAAAATGAATCTTGTAAATAAATGGGATTTAGGAATTTTAGAGGTAATACTGTCTCTGTCATGAGAGAGAGAGAGAGAGAGAGATAGTGTTTTTAAGATAACTGATGTAAGTAATATTGCCAAGGGAATAAAAATTCTCTTTATGTGATGATGATGAAGGAAATGAAATGATGGGATATATCAGTATTGTACACGTCAAGGTTCAGCTTACTCTGCATTCAAAAAGGTTTTTCCCCGTATCTTTTTTCATCTTTTCATCAAATCTCTTTTATTCCACCCAGCCCTTGTCTACTCTGCAACAATACGTATGTGCATGTCTTCTATTTATACATTTTGCTACCATTATTTTCTTTGTTAATGCCTGATGAGTATACAGTCAATACGTTTCTCTTTTCATGACCTCTTTCCATTAATGCAGTCTATTTTTTCCTTATGTTATTTTCTTTATTTCTTGTTCCTTATATTTTATGATTGCAAGCAACATGGATCAGAAAAGAAAGAAAAAAGGTTCTCATAACATTTCACCTCATCTATTGTTGAAGAGTTTTCTGACAATGCCTTAATGATTAGATTATAAAATCAGTGGGCGTCACTCATATTTAGTCAAATGTCTACATTCATACGTACCCAATTAGCATACATTTGTTCGTCTAGTTTTCTTTGTCGTCTGTTTACTCTGAAATTTTATGTAAATTCTCTACAACTAATTGTTTTTCTCCTACAGAACATTTTACCCATAAAACCCTTCTTTCCAATTACAATTAATAAAAGTATTATTTCTGTTCCTTTATAAAAAAATAATCAATTGAACTTAGTGTGTGAGATGCTGTTACTCAGTTGATTAATTTCAAAGTTACTTCTATGCATCAATAAGTCTGTAGCCTATTGAGAAATAAAGCAGTGTTTTTTTTTTGTTGTTTTTTTTTATACACACAACTAAGATTTATTTTTGTTGATAACTTCCTTTATAATTACATTTAACCTAAGGATTCTTCATTAATTACTAAAAATATGCAATGAAATTTTCTGATCATAAATCATTTAATATCCACTCTTGGATCTGGTTGTGAAATCTCCTTTGAATGTTAACTATTTTTCAGTAACTCTCCAGAATCTTTTTTACATATTTATAAGTCTACCATTTGTCCATGCTTAGAATATTGCTGCACCATATAATCCAGTGCTCCTGCTCTATATTTAGAGATTCTTCATAAAATCCAAAGAAGAATCTACAATGTCATTGGTCTTTACCTGGCATACCAATTTTAGTCACTTTCTCGCCACCCTAATTTAGCTTCTATGTGCCTTTTTTTGTAAATACTTTCATGGTAATTGTTTGAATGAACTTTTGCTATAGTAAAACAATTTTTCTTCCCTGAATTTGCCTTACATATTTATAAGTCTACCATTTGTTCATGCTTAGAATATTGCTGCCAAATATTGTCCAGTCCTCCTGCTGTATATTTAGAGATTCTTCTTCATAAAACACAAAGAAGAATCTGCATTGTTATTGGTCCTGAACTAGCAACCTGGCTTCAGTCAGTTTTCCACCATCCCTAATATAGTTTCCCTGTGCCTTTTCTATAAATACTTTCCTCTATGGTACCGAGATTTTATGAATTTAAGTGCAGTACTAGATTGGCAACTAGGTCTCATTTTACAGTTGAATTGGTTAAATGTAACTGTAAATTCTATGCTAACAGTTTCTTCTGTTGCCCATCTCTCTTGTGGAACTCTCTTCTGCTTCCTTGCTTTCCAACCAACATAGCATTAAAATATTTGAAGATCAATGTCATTTGTTATCATTTGTCTTCTTAGTTTCTGTTCTTTTATTGTTCTCTTTCCTTAGTGTTTTCTTTTTCTTTCATGTGCAGTAACCCCCCCCCCTTGTGTCTTAGTGGCTTTATTGCCTTGCCTGAGGTGAAATGTTTAAAAAAAAAATTTCTGTATCTGTAAAAATTGCTCTGCTATTTCTGTTTTATGCATTTGCTCTTTTTCAAACAACCAATAATCGTATAAAATAATTTTCTTTGTTTGGTATTCAAGTTTGTCTATAAAAATGTAAAAAGATTACTTTACTTGCAAAATATTTATGTGACTTTATCATTATCTTCCAGATAAAAACCAGATACTCACAACTGCTACAGTATTTGGAACATCTCAAGAGATGAAACCGTGCAACAGTCAAGTGAAATCTTGTTGCAGTCGACTGGTGGGAGAGAGAGAGAGAGAGAAAGAACAATAAAAAAATCTCTATTGAGATTTATTGTTGGTACTGCCACCTTCAAATGTGTTCCTTACAGTGACAAACTCTCTTTCTCACTCTTGTAGCTTATTGGTACTTGGTACTTGAACAACAAGTCTGCCAACAAGTGTTTTTATTTCTCTCCCCACCCTCCTAACCTTGCTTCAAAAGGCCTTAATGAGTTGCCTGTTCCATCATTCCTTTTGGTGGTTTGGTTGTTGCTATTGTATTTTCAACCGGATAACTGAAAATTGCGCACCCTCATTCTCTTCGACTGACTTCCTTGCCCAGTTAGGTTCCATTTATATTTATAAAAAAAAAAAACAATCATTCAGCCAGTTCCTTTTTTTCATTTTCGTAAAATTCATAACAGACACAACCTCCATGTTTATTGTTGATTGATTGAAAACAAATGTGAATATAGTTTTGACTGTATTTTTTAGCATGATGGTGCAATTTAGTATGTTCAAAAGTTTATAGCTAAACTATAAAAAATTAAAAAAGTAAAGTAAATTGCTGAAAAATAAAGTTTGAATTATATTCATGTCATCATGGTAAATATTGCTTTTATGTCACAACAGATAAATTAAGAGAGGCTAACTTCTCAAGTTACCTTTTCAAGTTCAGGATTTTTGGCATTATAATTTATTTTCAACACATGAAAAAAAAATCCTCAGAATCACAATTTCCTTTGTCTTTTCAAGGAAACAAATGTGGAAACTGATTTGAGTAATTTTTTAAGAGTAGAAATATTTGTTGCATTTGATTTATTGTTTTGTTTTGTATGTTCAGCATTTTGGCTGACTGTATTTATTTTGTTTCCTCAAAGTAACTGGAGTGTTTCATTAAATCTCTTTTCTGATGATGCATCTTGAGATTTTTAGGCCTTCATGAGTCAAAAAGAGAACTTTTAGACATTTGTCAGACAGGATCATTCGATAGGTATCAGGAATGATGTGAACATCAGTTTTCAATATAGGAGTCTCTTACATGTGAGTTTACTAAAAAAAAGTGACAAAAAAAAAAAACACTTCTCATAATGCTTAATGTTTTAAATTTTTCATTAGTTTCTGAATGTTTTCGGATAAAAAACCATTCTGCTTCTAACGTATGCAATTGAGTGAATATAAATGAATTATCAAAGCTAATTGTCGCAAACAACCTTAATTCTTCAAAGATTATGTCGTATATTTTTATTTTTAAAATAGAAATATAATTCTCTATACAAGTGTATTACTTGAAATTCCTTGTCTTCTGACTTTAAGGCATGTAATTTTACTTTCTGGCATCCAGGAGAGTTGAAGAATATTGGTTTGAATTGTTGCCATCATCAAATTTTTTCATATCCAATGTTTGTCATTGTGCATGTAAAATCCATGATAATACAAGGGGTCAAATGTATTAGAGAGGAGCCTCTCATCACTGCTGTCATCAGATCAGTGTTGACAAACATAGATGGCACAGCATTGACAAACAGACATTATGGTTGGCAATGATTTTAGGTGAAGTGCATTCCTCTTATTTGTCATTAGTAATAAATAAATCTTGGAGTTTTACTAAGGAAATCTAGTGTCATTAATTTTATAAGTAGTTGGTCATTTTGACTAATTAAAAAAAGATGTTAAAATGGTTAAATCTTGAAATTCACTATTTTTGCTGCATGATTACTGCAGTAAACATGTTAATGTATTTTCAGAAAATTAACATCTCTTGTTTGATAATTGCTCTGTATAGGAAAATGTTTAACATTAGTTTTGTTGTTAGAAAATTTGACAATGCTGAAAAGGAAAAGTATGTGTTTTCAGATTTTCATTTTTTGGATTGTGTGTGTGTGTGTGTGTGTGTGTGTGTGTGTGTGTGTGTGCACGTGTTGAAGACATTTGTTTTCTAGGGTTTATTATACAAAGAAAAGAAAATTTGGACATAATTGCTTACATAGATTGTCTTGATTGTGCAGTGAAAAATCTCTAGCTTAAAAACTATTCAATTGAAATGGTTGACTTGAAACCATATTTTTTTTCTGTATGTTAACTGTCTTTATTTTAAAATATAAATAACAAAAAGAAATTCACTGATTTTAATGTCTCAATAATAGAATTTTGATGAAACATCAAGTCTAAAATGAAATTTATAAAAAATAATACAATTAAAAAAATTGTTAAGTGAATTCTATGGATAGATTGTGTTTTGTTTATATGATACTGATTCAGCAAATAATTTGTGTAAAAATTCTATTTTTGAAATTTCCAATAAAACACATTTGTATACTGATCTAATGAAATGGTTTTACAAAAAGACAAAAACAATTGTCTTTAAAAAAAAAATAGTAGTTTTCATTCAATAATTAGTTTACGTCTTCAGAGTTTAAAATTGAATCCAATAAAGATTTATTGTTTTGGTTGCAAAATTAACCCTCAATATTAACTTTAGTTGATTTTCTTTTTTTTTTTTTTAGTTTGTCTAATTTCGAATCATCCTCAGGTCACATATTTATGTAATTTTTTTTCTGCTAATTTTCTCAGATAAGTTCTAATTTAATGGCAGTTTGTTAGCACTGTTAACTTTTTCAATCAGTTATTCTCTTAACATATAATAGAATTTTCATTAACTTCTCACTCACATAGTAAGTGGAGAAATGAAAAAAAAATCTTCAATTGAAAAACCAGTTCCAAACAGTTCATATATAATTAAAAAAAAAAAAACTTCAGTTAAAATTTCAAACTTGTTTAAACAATCACAATTTGCTAAAACTGATTTTCATGAACAAGTGATGTTAATTACTTGCCTTTTCTCTCTCTCTCTTTTTCTTTTCCTTCCTTTCCATCCTGGGCTTTGGGATGAGTTATTCAAAAGAGAAACTGTAGGGACATGAGGGTGCTTTTCTGAAGTGTCTAGTAACCCTGACTCCCATGTTAGGACTTCTGTTGCTCAACTCTGATGTTATGAGAATCAGTCTTCCTGTTTTCTCCCAACATCCACTGAGCATAGAGGAAGATAGTCTGAACGAAAACAAAGCTCGTAAATGCTAAATAAGATATTTACAAATATTTAGTCTTATTTAGAACTTATTACTTGATATTGAAAGAATTTAATCAGAGAAAGTTGAAACATTTGTGATTTATTTATTTCTATTTGTTTTGCAAACAGTCATGGTTTATTTAAAAAATAAAAAATGTCTGCCAAAAGACCTTGATTGTTTTCATGAAGTGAATCTTTGAAGTTAGGTCAATTTTTATGCTCTCTACCATCTACAACAGCCTTCTACCACGTTTTTCACCAATTTACCCACTTTCACCTGCCTATTTACAGGCATCAGTGTACATTTTGTATATATATATATATATATATATATATATATATATATATATATATATATATATATGAAATAGTTTCATGTTGATGCTTTCAACTAATTGTTGATTGCTAAAACTCGATTTATTTATTTTTTATCCTCACCTCCACCTCCCCCATTCCACATTTTTTTAATAAAAATCAAAATCAAATGATGCAGTATCCTAAAATGTCACAAGTTAAAAAATCATCATCATTTCCTTTGTACAGAAAAAGAAATGTAATTATGTAAAATATTAAAATTGGTTGTATCTTTGTCTACATCTTTGTTATTTGTCATTTTTGTTTAATCTTCTCAATTTTACCTTTTGAAAAAAAAGTCTTCTTTTTTCCCTTCATGAGTTGGTTTCACTCTGAGATGTTGAAATTGCTTAAATGTCAACCTTAAGTTCTATTCTCTTGTCTATGGAATTCTTTTCAGGCTCCTTGCTTTCCTATCATCATGGTATTCACTTTTTTTCAGAATTTTTTTGGAGGTCCTACTTTTATTTTCATGATTGGTGGAAGTTTGCAAGTTTACTCTTTGAGACATTGAATGTGAACAGCCAGTTTTACCCCATTGAGTAGCTAGTTAGGTCAGAGGAGAAATCACCTGCCAAGCTTTGATCTTGAGGGTTTTGCAGCTGCATCCATATACCATTGTATCATCAACAGAGATATTCACAAATGATCTGTGTATACTCTTAGGCAGATCATTTATATAAAGTAAAAAGAGGGTTGGTCCAAGGAATAACCCCTGGGGGTGCCTCAAGAAAATAGGTACACTCAAGTTGAATCATATTCTAACAATAAAGTTAAGCCTCATCTCAAGCATGATGTTTGATACTTAATGGAAAATGGAAGTTAGAAGACCTCGGATGAGTGAACATCATGTGACATCGTGTTAACTTCTGACCAATCAAAGTGATGAGTGATTGATTTTGTTCTTTCACCTGAATTCAAAACTTCATTATTCGGTTTTTGATTCAGTTTTATTAAAGACTAGCAGTAGAGCCCGGCGTTGCCCGGGGATGTAACAGTAAGAGATAGATCAAGTATCGACCATCATAAAGACTAAAAAATAAAATTGACGAAGATTATTGTTTAAGGTTGACGGACACACATGTCTTAATTAGTTTGTTTTGTTTTATTTTTTTTATTTTTTTTTTTTTTTTACGACTTGGTCAAACTCAAACAAAAACATTGTTTTCAATCGTTATGAGTCTACCGATTGAATAGAATTTTATTATAAACAATTGTCTTGTAAATGGAATTTTTAAAGCATCCTGAATGTAAAAATAAAGAAAAAAGTGTGCAAGAGAATAAGAAGCACTACCTGCCAAAAAAAAGTGGAGTTTTGTTGAAATCGGTTGAAAAATGTAGGAAATCTGATCCCATATATAAAAGAACACACACACACACACACACACACACACACAAAACCTGGGTTTTATAATAAGTATAACTCGATATGAGTTGTCCCCTTTCATTCTCGTGACAGCGATGCCTCTTAATCGTGTTTTCAAATTGATTTCATGTAAAAACAATTGTATTTTTCCAATTTTTGGCACTGTCAGAACCACCGCAATGTAATTTTACGTAGTCCTGTGAAGTTTTGTTGAAATCGGTTGAAAAATGTAGGAAATCCGATCCAATATATAAACGAACAGACACAACCTGGGTTTTATAATAAGTATGATGCTGTGGGGATACAGCCTGTGGAAATATTGGATAAATGAACTGTAATACCTTCAATGAATTCAGTCAGTTATGTGCCATGTGTGATAGATGCTTATGTGATCATGTATCTTTTGATACATGATTAACAAGGCAGATTTTTTTTCCTGCTGTATGTTGTCATTTCTTTCTGCGGTAGACCAGTTGCCATCCAAGGCTATAGAACCCGGTCTGTCCTGTTATTTACCCATAGCTGGGAGAAGAAGAAGAGGAGTCATACCTTTCCTAAGGGTATTAGCACGTAAGTAAATGTAACGGATTTGACTGGAATTCGAACTTGGCTCTGATTCCTCAATCCGAGCAACTATCCATTACTCCACCATGCCTCCTCAATGCTTCAATGAATTATAAAACTAAATTAACTTATTACGTTGGAAAAATACTTTCATTTTCAACAAGGACCAGCATAGTTAGGATGTTGCTAAGTTTTTTGATAAATATTTATTTTCTCATCATTTCAGTTGCTTTTTATTGCAACACTCAGATCATTCTACGGCTGTTGCCAGGCAATATCCCTTTTTTTTTTTTCTCTTGAGAAACCTGTCTTAATACAACAGATAGTTTTCTACTTTAGCTACATCTCGTCTTTCTCCCTGACTTTTCAATCTAACTATACAGCCAACCCTTATCTTTACCAAACTTTTCGGTTATTGCCATATGGTGAGACAAATTCAAATTCCAGTTTTTCTTGTTGCATTTAATTTCGCACTAAAGACACTTGGAAAAGTGATGAACCCTTCTCTCCCCATCACCAGCTATGGGTTAATTGGCATGGTAGACTAGGCTCTCTAGCCTTGTTAGGCAACTTGTCTTGGAGAAGGATGACTCTGAATTCAAAATTGTAAAGACAGCGGGAAACCATTTCACTATCATTCCCAAGAAAGTATGACCATAAAGAAAGAGGAATCTATGGAGAGCCATGATTGCCTACATCCTGGCTTGATTTTTTTTTTTTTAAGTAGCTTTCATATTCACAACTCACTTGGTATTTTGATAAGTTAAATGATCCTATTCTATAAATTGTATCTATTCTAGAATATGAAATATCATGTGACACTATACATTTATTGGTTATGCAACCTGTTCTCCCTTATTTAGCTATCTCATGGTTATAATAACAGGAGGTATGATACGACTCTAAATCAAACATCTCATATTACTATAACAATTGATTATAAGTAATGAGGTAGGTTAATGTATTGCTTTTTCTTTGTTTAGTATCCCCATTTTTTTTATTTTTGCTTCTATTTATTTAGAAAGTATTTATTCTTAGAACAATAGTAAATTGATAGAAAAACCTTGGAGAAAATATAACCAAGGCAATTGTAATATAACTGTCATTGCAAGTATGAAGTTAAAAATGATGGGGCCATAAATCAAAACTGCTCAAAAATCTGTATCCAAAACTTGCAATGCGCAGCTACCATCTTCAGTATCAAACACCCAAGAAATCCACCTGTCATCCAAAGTAGCATTTTTTTTTTTTTTTTTTATTGGGGTAAAATTGTGATTGATCGAGACTGGTGGGGAAGTTCAAATATTTACTGTATTTTGAGGGCCTACTAAAGTCGACATAATCTTGTTGCTTATTGTCCTCATTTTCTTTTTTGACAGCACTGAGAACAAATTCTTTTTTTAAAAGAAGGCTTTGTTTTCTCTTTCGTAACTTGATGTACACAACTAGTATCCATCAACAAAAAGTGTTGGAGAATTTATCAAAAAAAAAAAAAAACCCTGAGGAGATCTCCAATAAATATAGTACAACAAAGTGCACCACACCTGAGTGAATAACTTATGTTATAAATGTTGCAGCCAAGATAAAATTTGTAAAAATTTGTTTATCTTGTTTTTTCACTTTAAACTGCAAGAAGATATCCTATTTCTATATTAGATAAAACACCTGAAGAAGGCCTGTAATAGGAGTGACAGTGACTTAGCAGGAGCAAAGCGAATTCGTTGCCTCGCGTGTCGAACCATTCTCTGAGAGTCGGTCGCGCGTGCACCTACTGCCATTTTTATGCAGCAGACTTATTTGCATAAGAGAACCACACTACCGATTAAAAACCCGGCGAGTGGACGTGGGAGGCCACTGCTTTTCTAGGCTTCCACGAGACTAGACGGATTGCAGACAGAAAGCGACAGCAATTTCTGGACCTACGACAAGGCCATAAATACATTGGTCAAAATATTCTGTTGGCAAGAATCCAAGACTTAAAGAAGAGATTGAATTGTCGGGGTGGGGGGAAGGTTGGAATTATTTTGCCAGATAAAAATAGCTTGAAGTAATTTGTCCAATTTATTAATAATGAAAGGTGACACTTCTGCTTGGTTTCATGCAAATCATTTGTTGAGTTGTTGGCACTTTCCCAATGGACACCTGTTATTTAATTAACAGGTAATTTAGTAATCCTATGAATTTCATTGTAAGTTCTAAAAACAACCCAGAGTTGTAGGTGGGGAGGTAGTAGCTAATGAATTTTTACAATTGCTTAATTATAAAGGTAGAGTTACCTTGGTTTAGTTTGAAATCATTTTCTCCAATTTGAGTCCAGAGCAATGGATCTTGCTAAAATTGCACAGAGGATTGAACTCCAAGCCTCATGGTAGCATTTTTATATACATATATCAGGTCATCCCATAAGTTCTGTCCGAATTTTAACTTTTTGTTAAAATGAACAAAATTTAAAGAGTATTTTATAATTTCTAATGGAGGTGAACATTATTTTTATGATTAGATGCATTTAAACTGATCAAATTTTATTTCAGAGAACAATAAAATTAAATTTTGTTTGA